TAACTAATCCATGTTTGACGAAATGCGGTGAAGCTTTTCGTCAATCAAGCAGCAGTTGAGAAGGAGGAATTGAGAATGAGGGGCAAGTCTAGGTAGGGTGGGGAAGTTTAAAAGTGGATACATTATATTCACCTGTCACCGTGGGGGAAGGTGTAATCAAGCCGTCAGGGCTATGTGCCTACCTTAGCTGCTTAGGTTAGGTTAGGTTAGGTTAGGTACTTAGGTACCTAAGGTACATCCATATTTCCATTGACGCATCCTTAGAGTTCTAGCGCCTGCGCATACTACTGCTGTGTGCTACCTACACCTACCTAATACTTTGTAGGTACTTTTGTACTTTGTACTTGGTATTAACCCCCACGTTCCTCATTCATCAAGAACGAACTTAAAACGATGCAAACACCCTAGCGTTGCTCAGCTCCGTTTTTATTCTGGGTTTCGAACCGGGGACGGGGACTAGGATTTGAGTACCTACAGTAGTTAGAGCATACTAAGTTAGACATATATCCATAGTCGTTGAGCCCACCCCCAACTTATTCCTGGAAAGTTTGGGGACGCGCCCCGGAATCCTGGTTTATACCTTGTATGGCTTCTCCCCGGATCCATTTGAGTGGGTGGACGAGGGGCAGACGAGGGGCGGGCGAGGGGCGGGCGAGTGGGCTAACATTATAGTCTATACCTCGTGCTCTTATACCGCATATCAACGACAAACACGACACCACCACTCCTTCCAAAAACTATCAAGCGAGACACACGTATAAACTGCATGATACGCACGCTAAGACTCTAAGTTCAGTCTAGGTAGTCTAGGTAGTCTAGTATAAATACTACTCTCGTGTAGGATGTCTAGTACATCTGTCGGCTCTATAGAAAAGGCAAGGGATATGTAAGTCAGGACTAGTACGTATCATCAGGCCATTTCCAGATCATTTAAATTACTAGTACATAGCTCAAGTATCGGCTAGCTCTCGGGAAGAATTTGGCCTCGTCGTCGGTATTCCACTCCCCCGGTTCCCATACCCTGGGACTCGATTTGGTAAGCCGAGCAGCCCGGGCTAGATCTTCATAAGGCTCGCTAAGAGCTTCCTTTTGATGCCTATCCCACCGAGTACGAGGCCACGGGGCCGCGAGAAAACCCGGCGGTCTGGCTCATTTTGGGGGTACAAGCGCATGTCAATATTGGTGGTCTATTTGTCGATATCCGTTCTTACATCCGTCAACACCCTTTTCTGACACCGAAGTCTCGTATCATTCACACTGATGTTGACAGGTCAAAGTCAACCTCGTTGAGGCTGTATTAATTATGATATAGTGATAATCCTCTGCGGGGAAAGGACCGGCCATTTTTACCCCTTCTTTAGCATCGTAAGTTACGGCAAACTACCTAACTACATAAGACAAACCTCCAGAAACGAGACTCACGTGCGATTGAGAAGGCCTTATGTGGGGGTCAGAAGCTAGTATTGGTACGATCGACACAGGGGGTAAGGTGGCTTATTCCCGGGAGCCTTCCCCTCGGGAGGGGATGATCATTGGTGGTTCGGTCTTCTTGTAACATATCAGATCTTTTAAGTACTATGTAAAGTACCCTCTCGCTATTATGCAATTGCAACAATCCGACATCATCTTAATTTTAGCTGTTGGTCAAATAGGTAATTTATCAATTCTGTAACGGAATGGCACAGTGATGGATGAGTTATCACAAGTGGGACCTGAAGGAATATACCCTAAAGATAGAACCAGGTAGGCAAGTGGATCAAACGTATATCATTGTTGGTCTTTAAATCAACTTCAGTTCCATATTTTACTACAAGTTAGCTAAGTTTCACTCCGGTCCCGGTGCGCGCCGGTGGAGGTTTTAGGGTAATCCGGAAGTATCGGAAAGAGCCCGGTACGTACGGCGTCACGGGCTAGTAACGATGATTAATAGTCATAGGAACAGTTGTCCGCTTATGTACAAAATCCCACAATATCACACGACATAATCAGGTATCTACGTTGGGTAAAGTTATACAGCAACAAACTATGCTGTAGTAAGCAGATAAAAACTGAGGTTTTTGTTGGTATGAAGGTAGGAATGTTGCAAACCAGAAGATATCAAGGTACTAATAGACGTAATAATCAAGAAATATCATAGACCAATGAAGATTGTCATAACAACAGTTGCACAATAAAGGTAACGTTTTCGTCACATCCCCCAAAAATAGGTAATAAGCAATGAAAATCATCAGAGTTAGCTCCCCCTCAAATATCAGCGTCATAATTCCTCATAAAAACTATATGAGGCGATAACCAATCAGAATTTGATTGAATGTGTTGAGCAAACTTGTATTAGTTAGACACTATCCTTATCCTTGACATACCTAATGCTTGCAGGGGATCAAATGAGGCCTCCTAGTGGCTAAGGCGATACTACAACGGGCTGCAACGTTTTGCGCTCACCGGTTCCCTTATATGTACATAGTAATGCTGATAGAAGTCATGAGGCCTGTTAATCGACCTAGGGAGTTTGTTGGCATACTTCGTGTTCTGGTAGTTAGTGGATAGGGATACGTTGTTTTCCCGCGCCCCTTTTCCATGGCCTAAGAATGGTTACAATGGTCTATTTTCTCCACTTAATTAACGTCTAGCCCTACAGATGTATCTTATTGTTACGGAAGGTCTTTGGCGACTTTGTGACCTACCAATAATCAGATAAGTATAGCAACCCTCTCAATGTCACTTATTATTTCTACATCAGACCGATGATTCTTGTCACAAAACGAAGAATCACCAATATCTTTGATTCGTATTCTATTTGTTCTCATTTCTTATATGCCTGTCTTCTAGATTATTTATACGATCCTTTAACTCTAAAGCTTAAATCTAATTTATGTCAGACGGATCGCATTCTTTGGCAATATGACAATTCCTATTTCAGCAGTATGACTTACATTTATACCTAGGATGTCTGGGCCAAGGGCATGTCCTGGATAGATAGTTCATAGGGATAGCAATTATATGACCAAAGTTGTGCGTTAGCTAGGAGAATCTATTTATATGTAAATGAAGGCTGCGTGTCCCTGTGACTTTGGAAATACCTAAACAATAGCGACGAGATGTTGCTACCATTTAAGTAGTTCAATGCTAGGCATGCGTGGAATCTCAATTATGCCTAATTAGAATGAGCCCACAACATCCAAGGAAGCAATACCCTAGAATAAGCAGAATTTGTCTTTATCAACCAGCGTATCCTCAGAGAGCTACGGAGTTTCAGTCCGTTACTTGTCCTCCAATCCTCAGCCTCTAACCATGATGTGCGGATAAATTCATGGACTATATATGGTCCTAACTTCAATCTAATATGCATAACCCAAGAATATAGAACTTGGCGTAGTTCGCAAATCAATTTGCCCACATGTGAAGATGTATTTAAACTCTACGTATGCCATCAACTGAGATGGTCAAGCTTAAGCCTACGAGAGCTTCCTCGCTAGACAAAGCGCCTATTGACATTAGACTAAAGAATCGATGCCAATGTCGAAATTTTAAAATTATAATGCATTTATTTGACATAAGAACTTGCTCAGGTAAATATTTAATCCATGGCGGTAAATACTGCAATCCAGCTACAAGTCCGTCGAAAAGTCCCTTAGGTTAGGTAAGCTGAGTTATCAAGACGACAACATGCTCTCTTCTTTCTCGTTATATTAGGTACATACCTTGTAGTCAAGTATATAGTACATATCTAAAGCCATACTGGCTTGTGTTCCTGCCAGTCCACGAGAAGGGTTGAGTCATGGTACCTCTCGGTAGTAGTTTCTATCATATCGGCTGTTATTACAATTTGATTGATAGAAATTGGCGCCTCACGGATGGGAGAAGCGTGCTAACAACTTTATTGGTATAGTTTGTGTTTGTCCAATAAATCCCTTCTGACAGAAAGATCCAATTTCAAGTTGAAGATTATCTGTAGGTATATAAGTTAGAGCCCTAAACTGCATGTAAACTACATGTAGAGCATCTATACTTTATTATACGATCTACATATAGTTTAGGTAGGTACCTTAGAGGAACTATTGCAGGCGCTCGGGCCATCACAGGATTTGAGAAGGTTCGGACTGCTATTGATGTTATATATCTAGAACATGTATTTTGTAACTGCCATACACTGTGTATATGTAGGTAGATTTACCTATATGGCATAGGAACCAGGGAAGTCGCGAAACTGAACAGAGGTTAACACATAAGGTATATTTCCATAGTTACCTCTATGTACCATACTACCTCCTACCTATTTCTATGTCAATGATATCCTTCCTACCTCTTTTGTCAACTGCTTTCCGACCGTAAGAGAATATTAGTCCACTAACCCCGCACTTGTCTTGAGTTGTGCTTGCCTGCCCAAGTAAAACGTAAGTATTTCGCACAAGGCGTGTCGCGTTGCGTCGCGATTCATTCTCTTCTACTGCAGTCACTCCTTTCGTTCCTGCTTTATTCGTAACTTCTACCATTCATAGAGTCGATGCCTTTCTTTCTAAATCTCTCTACTCTTTACCTACTATTTACCTTACCCTCACCTGACTATTCGTTCTCCTATTTTACAATTACTTCATATTACCCTAGAGCAATAGCATTCTTTTTCCAAGTATTCTAGCCTTACGGACTTTACAATGGATTTGTCAACTCACCATGATCATGTGGGTATGGAACATCACAATACCAAGACTGGAAGTGGCGATTCTACGGAATATGAGTATACCTGTCTATTCTCACCATATGACTGTCCTCGTGATGTCTGCGCGACCCATGGAAGACGATCTGAGATGCAAATAGCGGTTAGAATGGCTGAAAAGGTTAGTCGGTACGACCCGACTAATCCTCGAGTGCTATGCCCGCCGGGTAGTTGGTTAGAGCGTTGGCGCCTAAAGCGGATCTATTCGGTTCCTAAAGAAAGGGCTTCTGGAGAGACACTAGGAGGTACGGCTGATACTAATCTCACAACTCCTCACACATACGAGATGGAAAGGCCAAATGCCGAGATGGCTCTACCGGCAAGTATTGGTGGAAGTGACTACTCTGAACTTCTGTATACCCCTGAATATTTGTCCAGCTCTTCAGGATGCCTCCGCGTGACTGAAGGGGTCGAACTTCCAGGCAGGAACCTTTGGAAGCCAGCTAAACAATATGTGCTTGGAGCGAGCAAGGAGGGTTGGAAGACGAGCATTCCGGACGATCACGACTATGTCGATAGGGTGTTTGCAAACGAGGCTAAGCGTCTTGAGGCTATAAACTCATATCGTACGCATGATTCCCGATTTCAAAGCAATATTCTTCCTCTCATGTTTCAATTTGGCATTCGCTATGCCCCCGACCCTTACCCAGCACCTGTCCCAGTATCACGCAGTATCATGATCACAGGGTTTCCTAAATCCACACCTCTCAGCGATATCATGGCGCGAATCCGCGGAGGACAAGTAATCTCAATCACAACAGCCACGAGCCCTGATCCCGTCGGACGAACTATCATAATTGAATTCAAGGATAGCGTCGCAGCTTGGAAATACGTTCACTACGTAGAAAGGGAGATGCCATTTATATTTTCTGCCAGTTCTAAGGTCACGCTATTAAGGTCTCACAGCTATCCTATGAGGCTTGATATACAACGTGACGTATCGAGTGGAATCACTCGACTAGCGGTATTTCTCAATTTTGCAGAGAGTCGCTCCTTTGAATTCCTTGACGACCTTAAATCTATGCTTGGAAGCCCAGAGGATATCCTAGAAGACTCGTGGATCGAAAAGGGGGCCTTATTTATCCTCTTTAAGAGTGTGGCCACCGCTAGTAAGTATTACAAGACAGTTGTATGGAACCAGGAAAGACTCAAGCCAGGCTCTTTTGAGAGTAACTTATACCGATTTGCTGCAGATCCTTGCAATAAGCCACTATGCGACCTGCAGCAACCTTTCCGACCGGCAAGATACCCCCATGACAGTTTGCTAGATCAATGGATAGAAAGAAACTCTCAAGCGGCTGTCTCTACAGTCCATAGAGAGTGTCTATCAGCCACACGTCCCGATTTCCGAAGATGAAGAGTGTGAGGATAAGGGGGGAGAGAATGAAGTTTCGAGTCAAGCTGAGAAGAAGCAAGAGACGATCCAGCGTATCGTGAACCTACTTGACTCGCCCATCCACGAAATTAGTCACGAGAAATTCCCTGTCCTAACCGAGTCTCCGACAAGAGCGCCCCAGGAGAAATATCCGCTTATAGACATCTCTATAGACGAAGATGGTGACGAGAAAATGATATCAAAACATACGCTACCGCAAAACGATCCAGCCTACTACGAATTGTTGCACCGCGACAGTTCTGATCTAGTCCGCCTATCCGAAGCCAACGCCATCTTTCACGCTCAGCCTTTCCGAACTATTCCCAAGGCAGAAATGCGTGCGCGATATTCCGGTATATTTGGGTCCTAGACTAAAAGGATTATCAGACAGGTGCAGCATCAAGTTTTCAAGAAGGCGTGCCGGCGGGATGCCTAGCAAGAGTCGCTTTAATGACTTATGGGTACACCGCTATCTCCTTCTTTAGATCCATGACAATACATCGTCGTTACAATTCTCTTTATTTCTCAAAAGATATTTCACCAACCATACGATTCGGGTTTATTTGCGGGATACATCAGCCTTATGAGATAGTTGACCCAAACTCGTCCTGTTAACTTCTACAGGATGGATGCTTACACGGAGTTCATGGAAGCATTTCTATCTGCTTGCGTTATTTTCCTTTGATTCTCAAATAGAAGGCGTTCATACTATATTTCAGCTTTAAGACAACTTGCCGTCAACTTTCATCATGGCATTGCATTATCTTTCGTCACGACTCTTTTGCTGCATTACCGGAACGGATTTCACGCAGAATGGTTTCCTTTCTACAGGTCGATTTTCCTTATTTCGTTGTTTCAGACGCAGTCTTGCAGTCTTGGGTTCATAGGTGGTGGTCTGGGAAAATAGAAAAAAGTTGAGGTAAATTACCTAAGCAACAACAAAAAAAAGGAAAAGGGAAAGGGAAATGAATGGACAGGCAAAGAAAAAAAAGGGGGGGGGGGATTTGCTATCAGACCAGCATCTGCTTATATACTCGGTGCCAGCACGTACATGGAACATCTACACAAAACATCCCAAGGTCCATATCTAGGATGGATAGATGAGGAGGCCATCTGAATGATCTAAAAGCTTAGAGATGCTAAAGTTGCTTAAGTGCTCTTATGAATTCGAGTTTCTTTTCCTTCGTACTTCCTTACCTTTTGTGTGTGAATTGCTAGGCGTGACTTCGTATATCATCATAAACGAGAAACGGTACGTGCGATGATATGATTTTAATTCACTGCTATTAATGTAGCTGTATGTTGGATGGCTACTCAATTAGAGTCATCCCTTGGGGAATATATCGGTGCTTATGTGTCTAGGGTATCTAAGGGGTATGCAATGTGTAGCTTAGGCAAGGTAGGTACACATGTGGGCGAGATATTAGGTAGCGCTCATACTTTCGTAAGCTCATCAGCTTTCTATAGCCCCTTACACCCATCGCCTCCTTCGCTGTCAAGTAGATAGCTGCATCGATTGTTAAATAATTCAGCAGTTAGAAGCCGTACTTTGACCCTGGCCGAAGTTAGTGTAAACCTCCATTTTCATTACCGAGACGAATAGCTGCGGCGAGATCTCTCATAAAGGCCGCACCTAACTCTTCGGGCTTTGGTCTTAGTCTTGGATTCCGCCTACTAGGGCTCGCCTCCTGCTCTTCTGCTACAACGAGCATTTCCTCTTCCCCATAATCTTCATCAGCGTTATCATAGTCGCCTCCCTGGCTGGTATACGATCCATCACTCTGGCCCGCGCTAATCCCTATCTCCCCTAGATCCTCCCCTTCTCCTGCAAACGCTTCCGCCACGCTCGAATACTTTCTCTTGAGAGTTGATTGGCGGAGTGACGGCATGTTGCTGGGGACATTATTGTTATTCTTCCTTTTCGGAGACGCTGGCGTGTGGCGGGCGGCTTTCTTTTTCAGATACAGTTTTATGAGTGCGGGCGTTATATTCTCTTCTGGCTCCCAGGTTGGGTTTTGATCCGGTGGCCAATCACCCTCCCAGCGTACCTTAAAGTACCGCACGTGTTTACCATCGACATTTATCATCTTGTCACCTTCTAGTCGCTCTACCACCCATACTTGAGGTTGTTCCTCTAGCTTTTGAGGCGTAGGCTTTGGTTTAGGCGGCTTCTTCTTCAAGTGTGTGGATTCTTTATGATTTGTACCGCTATTTTTCTCATTAAGTGGAGATACTTGGGAGGGTATATCGCTTGGTGAATGGGCTTGTGCCGACGGCCATTTGCCGGAACTTCGCCCTGCGGGTGTGAAGCCGTGATACTGCGGCGAAGCTGTTGCAAGCTGTGGGAGGGGAGCTTGAGTAGAACTATCTCCTTTCCTATTCGTTGAGCGTGACCACGAAGGGATCGGGACTGGGACTGGAGTAACACGATGTTTGGTATCAGGTTTTGGTTGTAGTACTTCTTTGTTCGGCCTCAGCGGTGTGGGAACAGGAACTGGCGTCGTAGAGTACTTTGCACCGGATAATTGCGACGAAGTCATTCTTTTATTTATTTTGAATGGTAGAGGGACTGGGACGGGTGTTACGCGGGGATGGCTGTCGGTTCGTGTGGGTGAGGATTGTGGTGGGAGTTGTCTATTGGATCGGGGTACTTCGGGTACGGGGACATGGCTTGTCGATGACTTCAGTGTAAGACTACCATTAGTGTGCTTGAACGTCGAATCCTTGTTTAGCCAAAGTGCTCTAGCATACGATCTGAATTCGGAACCCAACGACACAGTTTCGGGAATATTATCTAGTGGTATATCTCCATTCCCCTTGTCGTCTTCTATGTCCATATCCTCAAAAGAGCCATCATTGTACCCACATAATTGTCTGTATATTGCATCCTCCTGATCCACCTCATCAATATCCTCCTCTATATCGGTCGCAATCTTTCCGGCCGGCTTTTTTTTCGGTGTAGAGAGTGATGGTCCGGATGTACTGGCTAGGGGAAGCGCTACCTCAATATTCCCCGAAGTGTGAAGACTTGCCTGTCGTACAAGCTGACGCGACTGGAGATCGGCTTTGCTGGGTCGACCACGTCTTTTCTGATTGGCTGCGTTTGGAGTTCTTGGTGCTGTTGAAGTAGAAGTCATTATTTTATTCTTTGCTGCCATTTCCATCTTTCTCCTCGTTTCCGCTTCAAGTCTTTCATCCTCCTCGTCTCTTTCAAGTAGTGCTTTATATTCGAAGTCTTCCACAGCCCGAGGTGAGACGTAATCGTATATCTGGGTCGCAAGGATAGAGACGCGGGCGGCAGGTAGATCTGGCCATCCTACTACGTAGTACATGTGAAGCTTCAGCTCACCATTTGGAGTGGTGCCTGGAAGAACACGCTTGTCAATTATAAACGCGTCTGTATCATGTTCGGGTTGAATTCTGAGAGGCGCTAATGGTGGACCGTCGCCAGGCCTGTAGGGTGGGGGTTTCGAAGATAATGGTATCTCGATCTGTGATCTTCTTATTTTTTCAGTATCCATAAGTGCGGTTTGGATGTTGTTCCACCAGGGAACAGCTCCAATGGCTACCAGTTGCTCTGGTGGTGATGGGGATTGGTGGTTGATGGATCGTGTGTTTTGTCCAGGGTAGCTGTGCTAACTTAGTATCACAGAAAATGTCTTGGCAAAGCTGGCGTGGGTCTTGCAAGTCAAATTCATGTAAGAGGTATTGTATGAAAGAACAAAATATTATACCCTTCTTAAGAGTTCACTACCAATATTGTGTAGTGATAATTTGTAGTTGTATCCTTTGTTTAATTTAACTTGGGTTAAGCACTTTCTTAGATATGTGATTCTAACTTTCCAATAAAGAAATGAATGTTCACAATATTTACCTAAGGTACCTAAGGTAGCAATTGGGGTGTACAGGTACTCCTACCTACCCTATAGTTAAATTTAGATTGGTTACCTGGTAACTTGGAATACTTATTCATTAAATAAGTACCTAGGTACACTATAATTACATAATTAGACTCTTACCGCCTTCTATTTCCGTTGTCGCTCTTTCCCTTTCTTCTTTCTGCCCATCTTGTGTCATTTTTGTGACTCAGTTGCCCCTCCCCCTCCATGTCAAAATTATAGTTGCTCTAACGAAGTAACGAAGAGACGAAGAGCTTTCTATTTTAACACGTACCTAACTCAATTCATCATACAGACAATTAGCTACAATAATCTGCAACAATAATTGCGATCATGGGTGACTCAAATCCGAAGCCCTCGTTACTTCCGGAGCCGGGAAAGCAGAGCATTTTAATCACCAGCGCCTTACCATATGCCAATAACGTTCCACATCTTGGCAATATTATTGGTAGCGTCCTTGTAAGTGAAGCTGCGTCGCAACCCCCAGAACATAGATGAATATAGGGTAATATAGCAATATTATAATTAATTATAACTAACATACTTTAACTCTTCCAAGTCTGCAGATGTATTTGCTCGTTTTTGTAGAGCTCGAGGCCTACCAACACTATATGTCTGCGGTACCGACGAATATGGTACGGCTACAGAAACACAAGCCCTTACAGAAGGTGTAGATCCGGCAACCCTTTGTTCCAAGTACAATGCCATTCACCGCGACATCTACTCCTGGTTCAAGATCGATTTTGACATCTTCGGTCGCACACCAACTCCCCAGCATACTGAAATTGTCCAGGAAATGTTCACGCGACTTTGGGAGAACGGTTTTATTGAGCAGCGAGAGACCGAGCAAGCCTACTACTGCCCTGCACATTCTTCTTTTCTAGCTGATCGCTTCGTCGAGGGCGAATGCAGCTTGTGCCATGCAGCTGGTGCCCGAGGAGATCAGGTAGGTTTCGCTGTTTCTTGGTAGATACCTCCGTTTTTCTAACGTATTTATTAGTGCGACGCCTGTGGAAATCTCTTGGACCCCCTAGAACCAATTGAAGATACTAAAGCAGAATCTGGAGAGGACAGAAAAGCCACTGGTTGGCTGGTGAACCCCCGTTGCAAGCTTGATGGTGCAACACCCGAAAGACGAAAAACGAAGCACCTTTACCTCCGTCTGGATGCGTTACAGCCGGAGATCAAGTCTTGGCTTGACAATGCTAGTAATAGCCATGAGTGGAGCTCTAACGCCATAGCCATCACCCAGTCATGGATCCATGACGGGCTCAAGCCCCGTAGTATTACGAGAGACCTCAAATGGGGTGTACCAGGTATGCTGAGTCCTACATATGGAAATCGAGTTGCGCTAACCTCATATGCCCCGTAGTTCCCACCAACCTCCCCGGACTATCAGGGGATGATTATGACAAGAAGGTTTTCTATGTTTGGTTTGATGCCTGCAGTATGATATTGTACGATCTTTGTCAATCTATATAGATATGCTAATGCGCGACAGTTGGCTATCCCTCCATCACAAAATACTACACAGATAGAGATGACCCATCTGGCAAGAACTGGGAACGGTGGTGGAAGAACCCAGATGATGTATCGCTTTACCAGTTCATGGGCAAGGATAATGTTCCGTGAGTACTTTTCGACTGAAGAAAATCAGATACGGGCTAACATCTCAAATCAGTTTCCACAGCATTATATTCCCCGGATCTCAGCTTGGTACAAGAGAAAAGTGGACCCAAGTTACCAAGTTGTCAACCACAGAATATCTCAACTATGAGGGAGGAAAGTTCAGCAAGTCAAAAAGCGTTGGTGTGTTTGGAAACAGCGCGAAAGACACTGGTGTGGCGGTCGACGTATGGCGATATTACTTGCTCTCTAGGCGTCCAGAGACCAGCGATTCTGAGTTCAGTTGGCGGTAAGTCATGAGCCGAGTTTGAAATATCTAGCAACTTATTGAGACTAATCATCTCTGTGATGTAGGGAATTTGTTGATGCCAACAATAACGATCTGCTGAAAAATCTCGGCAACTTCTGCAATCGTGTTGTCAAATTCTGTCATGCGAAATTGAATGCCGTGGTGCCTGATTATCGGACCTACAACGATCCTACGGGTTCTTTTCAGCAGCACAAAGAGGAAGTAAATGGTTTACTTCAAACATACATTACAAACCTAAAGGGTACCAAACTACGTGCTGGTCTTACCACGGTTCTTAGGTATGACTTCTCAAATTCTTCTAACATGTATTCATGAATTAACAAAGTTTCTTTAGTATATCTGCTTTAGGAAACAAGCTATTGCAAGACAATAAGCTAAGCAACCAGCTTCTATCCGAAGATCCAGAGCGCTGTGGCGCTGTTGTTGGTCTTGCTCTTAATCACCTACACCTCATTGCGAACATTGTGTTCCCATATTTGCCAGAAACCGCGAATGGCATTCTCGAACAGCTAGGCGTCCAAGGTTCTGGAAATGATCGCTTTTCTATCCCAGATACTTGGACGGCTGATGTCATCCCGCCTGGCCAGGCACTCGGAGAACCAAAGTTACTTTTCACACTTATTCCTACGGAGAAGGCAGACGAATGGCGTGAGGCTTTTGGTGGTGAAGAGCTTCGAAAGCAAAAGGCTATCGAGCAAGAGAAGGCCGCAGCCAAGAAAGCCTCGAAAGAAAAAGAAAAGGAACGTAAGCGACTCAAGAAGTTAGGCCTTGCAGGTGGTGCTAAGGGCGAATTATCACAAGGACCAACAGAACAACTACAGAAGCTTAGCATTACTGATAGTGCAGTAAACCAACCTGCACAGGAAACACCTAAATAAATTGGTAGGTCCGAGGCTTTTACTAAGCTGTTTTTTCAGGAGTGTGATGTTGGTAGGGCGCTGGTATAGAGGTTTCTGCAGAGACACCTTAGGTTTAGCGGTCTAGTTAGTGTGTAGAGAACCGCGGATAGATTCATTTGAGCAAATAATGCGGATTATTAAGGGTTAAAAATGGTCCTCTGATTTCAATTTGCTACTACTTCTAAGTCGGTCTGAATTATGGGCAGGATATGCTCATTGGTGTCTAGGTACATAAAAATACTAGCGTCTTTCCCTTTATTCCCTTACTGGCATCATTTAGAAATACCATGAGGTGGCTTGCCATAAGCCACATCAAAACACGCTCCCGCCCTCTTTATCGTTGGTACCCTAGACCAAGATATAGTGAAATCTATGATGTATGGACCTTTATATAACCACGACTCAGGCACTCTTCTCCTCGTCTACTTACTGATGGTAGCCATTATTAAGGCTAGCTAGACAGGCATGATTATGATACCCTCTTCCTTGATTAGAATACTGACAGACACCGCAATAGCACGCTAAAACTCCTAGAACTTAACGGGATCGTCGTTAGTAACGTCAAAGCTCTCACCGGCGTCGATTACATCGGTGGGATTATCGTGGATAATTGATGATGTGGATATATTAATAAATCCCTGTGTTGTCTCGATCTTTCTAGCCGAAGTAAGCAAGTTACGAGCGCCAACTACACTCTTTTGAAGATCGAAGGTTGTTGAACAGTAGAGTCTGGGCATGCAAAGTGGATAAACTGGTGCATAGGTAAGACAAGCAGATACGACCGGTGTTACTCTTGATTCGGTGGAATAGTTGCACAGGAAATTATAGCATGATTATTCATGGCTGGTCAAGTATATGGCAGGATATTGTATTACCACCTTGTCGGAACCAACGATATGTAAAGTATGGATTTTTTAAAGCTTATTGTCGGGTAACTATACCATTAGACCAAAAGATGATCTCATGATAGCATATATCTTATTATTGAATATATATAATATCCCTCCCAACCCCTGGTTTTGACGGTTACGGCAAACACTGGAATCTTGTCAAGTACATTTGCTACGGACAGGCTAAGAAATTCTAAGCATTTAATCTTTACGACAGTGTATTTCTCATATACCGTATAAGTAATATATATATCTCTGTTTAGTAGCTCACTGTTCGGGCTTCCTTGTGAATGATGATCTCAATATATGGAGTTTCAGACATTTTCATATATCCCGTACAGCATATCCCAACATGGGGGATAGCTCAAGGCGATTTACCACCATACGGCTTTGTGGATTTAGAGTCTGGGAACTTGGTAAATAGGTCTCGAATCTTATCAATTGGTGCGGTCATAAAGCTAACGACCGTTTCAAATGGGGGTTTATCAGGAGCATTGGGATGACTTCGGGTTGGCGTAAACAACTTCGTCTTCTCGAATTTTTGACACAATTCTTTAGACTGCGTCAGCCCAAGTGCATCCTCCAGTTTTACAAGATCTTCTTCTTCCTCCTCTTTGATATGACGCTTCAGGTCTTTGAAGAGCGCCTCCAAGGTGGGGAGGAAACTTTGGTCTCCAGGTTTCAGCTTCTGGAATTCGTAGAGTTGCTCTTTAACCTTCCATGTCTGTTAACGCTCTTCCATGGAAAAATTATGTGTATTAAAAGGGGGCTTTCAGTACCTTTTGGTGCTCCTCGCGATCCTTATCGGCTCTATGGGCTCCACCAGGAATCGCCTTTTCTAAGATCGGATATACGACGAGCTCCTCTGCAATTGAGTGACGTGATAGCTCCCAAATGAAGGCATTTTGAAATCTCCTCTGCTCGTCGGGGTCTTTAGAGCTGACAATTCGGTCGTAGTAATCTTTCAGTTCGCTATGGTCTTGTTCGATAGCCTGGCTGATCTTGAATATCTGACTATGTTCAAGTGATTCGGCTTTATTTCCTGGAAAATGATGTTCTGCGAATGTGCGTTGAAGGGCGTGTGAAGTGGCTGGACTGTAGACCCTTACCGGGGCCCTTACAAACCGGACAAGGCGACTTGACTGGCGAAGCATTTTTGATGCATTAATGAAGTTTTTAGAGTGATGAAATAATTATTAAATGACATACCTACCTACATTAGGTGTACTTAATATACTAAGTCTATCGGGTTTACATGGAATAATGACGATCCAGATGACAGCATTTCGCCGTCACCTTCGCGTCTTCGAGTTGAGATTAGGATCTGTCGGAACGGGCCGCCAAGCATACTATGATATAAGCGACGAATCATGGCTCATATTTTATTCGTCCCGATAGACAGCTATTATATGAAACCTAACGACCATATTGATTTAAATATTGCGTAATCCGTTCCTCTAAGGTAGGCTATCACTAAGTGATTCGTCCTGATTCACCTAATTTATGATATTTCCCTTTATGCTAATGGGTGGTTAGTCGAGTCTCGCCAGGATATTTGCCGTCATCACCAAGATATTATCTCCAACAGTACATAAGTCAAGACAATTTTCAAAATTTTATTTTCGTACCTACAGGTAGGTACCTAGGTATCGACCAAACTATAGTCTTCTCGGTATGTTATGATAAAGCCCAAGAATCATTTCGACCTAAGGCGCAGGGACCTTGTCTCAGATCGATGCTCTTAATCATCACTATCTCCTCTGCTTGAAGTTGCTCTATCAAGCAAGTTGAACGACCAGTTGTAGTGAATAAACATTTAAGTTCAGTCTTTCTTATTGCTTTAACCAGCTCCTCGAGATAAATAGATGTAGTTCGATCATCTAGCCACTGAAAGCTATCAATAATACAGAGCATGGTGTCTGGCATAAGGGATAACAAGTCTTGAAGCAGGTTTAACATCTGTGACCAGCACAAAATGGAGCCATCGATTATTTGAAGCCGGTTTAGAGAGAAATCGAGATTTGCTTCGAACTGTGGGAGTAAGAGCTCCATCATCTGCCGTATTAGAGCGCAAACTAGAGCTACACAGGATTGGGCCTCTCGTGTGTCATTTCCTAATCTCAGATGTTCCCGGCGGCGAATTTCACAAAAGCTTTAGAGAGGAAGACGGGTTAGTCCGTTATCATATTAAAAGTGCCTATCCAGTTGCCTTTACGATCGGATTGAAACACTTACTAAGAGATAACTGGGATATGAGAGTTCTCTGCCAATTCCGCGATTCCGTTAGCCAACATGGTGATAGGGTTGTCAAGATCGTCGGCTTCTATCAGTGGACCTTCGAGCCAAAGAATACGCGAGGTTTTTTCTTTCATCCATTCACCAAGTCGACTGATGACTTCCGAACTAATACTAGCGGAGGCAAAAGATCTACCTAACAATCGCATGCGATCGCGGTGGAAGAAATCTTCCAAGTGCTTGGAATTAAGCACAACGTCCTCCGACTTCCATTCTGAAAGACATGGTGAACTTGACCTGACTGCTGGTGCAACTCCCAGGTACTCTGGTCTAGCAAGCAGAGAAATGGGAGATAATCCTAACATAGATAAATAGAATTTAGCGTTTTGGCCTTTATGTGCAATGGAGGAAATATCCTCTTACTCATGTCAATTGAGTGCATATCCCCTATCCATACCATTGCTTTATCCTGAAGCATACTAGTTAGACGATCAGCGAGCTGCTTAAATTGTCTTCCTTCCTCTCTTAAAAGCTGCCTCTCTCTTCGCCCTTCTAAAAGTTCTTTTTCAATCTTCTCTGCTGCATAAATCGTCTCGGCATGCCGTCGCTCTTCTCCTGTCAGGCCCAACCTGATGTCCTGTGCGAGATCTTCAACAGCCAACCTAGTTACTCGCTGTTCTGCACGGGAGCTCTGGGCTGCCAAGTTTCGTATCATATCAGATTTGTGCCTAATCGTCTCAACTTGATTTTCGAACTTCTTATAGAAGTTTTCGTTAAAGGAGTCCAACAGCCGCTTGCGTCTTTTCTCTGTTATCCAATCCATAGTGTCAGAAAGGAAGATGAATACGTGCGCATAGAAATCCGCAACTAACTCCAGCATTTCTCGGGTTCTGAAAAGCTCTAGCTCCGATTTACACTCGTAAACATGTTCGCTGATGCGGCACAAGGCTTCCGACAAACCCTCAGCAATGCGCTCATGGTTAACACTGGCCTAAGTAAAGTGAGAACGTGATATGGTGTGGGATTGGATAGTAAGCTCACTTGTATAATGACATTCAGCGTCCCAGCAAATATAGAGACATATTCGTTACCTTCCGGGATCAGCTTTAGCATTGACTTATGCGACTCTATCGTGCTGCAGAAGTCATGGAATGACTTCATAGCTTTTCCGCGGCGACTATTATCTCGCTTTGATTGTGACATCGTCGCAACTTCTTTGACAAGACTGACCACGTCTTCAATAGTTGGCTCTGATTTTGTTATATCCAGGCGATCCGCAATAGGGCTGTTTTTGAGAAAAGGGGCCCATTTCTCTCGAAGTTTATTTGATTCGATAGCAATAACAGCAATAATAGGATCTCTAATTCAAGGAGACGTTAACGATAGTTTTTATTCTAAATAATTTGGGATGACCTCACTCATCACTTGAAGATGGCTGCCACGGCTCAAAGAATATTCGCCATGGGTTCGTCAAATCTCTCGGATCAGGTCGGTCACGACTCAAGACCTGTCCCAGAAGCTGAGCATCATCACTGCTGCGAGACAATCTACCTTCAACATCATTACTATACGTCCGCACAAGCCTCAGCGAGTCTCGAATATCATCCATTTTACTGGCCATGGAACTGTCTTACTAGGTAGGATACGTTTTCATATAGTAAAGAGGGGAGTTGTTTATTGGGACTTTTCATACACCATACTAGGCAAGGCTGTAAAGGTGGGCAGACGCGCAGATGCTGACAAGCTTTCTGTCTAGCTCGTGCTCGACAACGCCTAGTACGCGCAGGATTTTTATCTCATTGGATATCGAGGTGATATATGTCAGGATAAGCAGGCTCTGTCGTAAGATGCCACCCACCATTCATTCAGCTTCTGTCGTTTCGGGACAACCTGCATGAACTGCGGGTTTAATGAATGTTTGGGGTCCAAAATTCAAACTACAAATAAAGAGCGAGGCTCTATATCATAACTAAAGTTTTTTCTATTTACCTATTTCCATGACGAGAAGGTTATTTTCTCAAGACCTTCTTACACAACAGAAAATAACTAATTAATAGAGTATTACTATATACATGGAGGCTAATAACCAAAGGCAAACTACTTGTGCGGACGACAATTCCAGGAGTCCTTGGATTAGATACCGTGTGGAATACCGAAACCGTGATACGAATGAATTAATCAGCCATCATGATACAGAAACTCCCGATTTAGACGCTGATAATAGTGGTCTCGACAATCTGGCTTTTGCTGTAGTAACCACGTTCAAGGTAGCACCACCATCTCAAGTAGTATCATCAACGCAGCTGATTCCTACCACAAACCGCGAAACCCAGCCATCCCGGTCATCTCTTCCAAGCTACTCTCTACATCTATATTCTCCAGCCATCGTCAATGCTCTACAGACAGTAGTCCAATATTACCCATCCCAAGATCTAACAGGCACTGTCGAAATAAAGTGGCCTTACCCAATATTGGTCCATCATTACGACGAGCTCGAAAAGTTTCGTCAAGACGTTGCTCTCAAAGATGACTCTGAACTTTGTGTTCGAGAGAGACACGCGTATGAGCACATACGGTTACTCCTTGATTTTCTTGACCAGAATATCATGGGGGAAGTAAAAGCTGAAAAGGAACGAAATAGAAAAGGATTCTACACGTACGAGCTCGCCTGGGTAAGCCTGAAACCTGGCAGCACGGTAATGTTGCAGCCGCTTATAAGTTCCGACAAATTGGCACGAGTGATCCATTCTATTAAGGGTGGTATATTTGATACCCCTCGAACTTCCTGGTCGATTCAATATTGGTATATGCAGTATGATGGCTACTATCCTGGTCGATTCAATATTGGTATATGCAGTATGATGGCTACTATCTAGGTAGAACTATGGAATTTGCGTCTATGGGAATCTTTGACGGGCAACGTGAGTTGAGAGACATAGAGGTCAATAATCTTACTGGAAAAGATCTCCCTATCGAAGTTGCAAATCAGTTAAACTATGGCAAGGCTTATTGGAATTTATTAAGGAAGCAGTGCAGACGCTACAAAGGGAAGACCGAAGCTTTTCCGTACAATGAAGTATGTTGCATCTACCTTCAAACCATCAAATGAATAAAGCTTACAAGAAACTAGGTTGATGGTTTAGTGATGACCGATCTTAGAAGCTACTATGCGGATCAGGGAAGCAAAGTCAGCTTAATGGACACTTCCGACTGTCGCAACTGGATCTCGGATTGTAAATGTCTAGTTTGCAAGAGTGTAAATACGAAGAAGGAGAAAAGATGATCTCTCTTCGAAGACTACAGCCTCATCGGGATCGAAACGACAGAGACGCTTACACCTCATATGTATTTTCTTTGCAGCTACAATATAATGGCATTTGTCTTTAGGACTCGTAGATGGGGTGAGTTAAAACAGCACTACCCCATTCCATTTATTTAACAATATTATGTGAGCTCAACTAATAATTAATACTTGGATAAGAATGCTTACACGTGCGCCACTTCTCCGAGCCGCAATTCGATGAGGAATTGATCGACCATCTTGTCATGGAGCGACATAGAAAACAAACATTGAAGTCATTAGCTAAAAGCTTTGCTCGTGTAAATCAGTACGGAGATGCCATGACTCGGGATCCGTGGACTGCGGATTTCGTAGAAGGTAAAGGACAGTATGTGTTCCCGAGTACCACTTCTTACTCAGAAATAAGGCCCCAGGGGCTTCCAAGTTCAATATATGGCATGGGTCAATTGTTATTAACATATTCTCGCCAACAGCGGCCTTATTTTCTTACTACATGGTCGACCGGGTGTAGGCAAGACATGTACTGCCGGTAAGAAAGTCTTCTATGTTCGATTCCATAGGTCGAATGTACTAATATACCGAACTCTCTTTACAGAATGTATTGCAGCCTTCACAAAACGCCCTTTAATGGTCTTGACATCCAGCGACATAGGCACCGACCCAGCAACTGTTGAGGTCAACTTGACAAAGCATTTTAAGACAGCAAGAAGTTGGGGCGCTATACTTCTAATTGACGAAGCCGACGTTTTCATGGAACGCCGCTCAACAGCCGATCTTGTTCGGAATAGTTTAGTTGCGGGTAAGTTTTCCTTGATCAGCATCAGTTATATCGAAAAATCTGTTTACTAACATAAGACACGGTATATTCCAGGCTTCCTTCGAGCGCTCGAGTTCTACGACGGCATACTATTCCTCACTACGAATAGGGTTGGTTCATTCGATGATGCCTTCATCTCGCGTGTACATCTGCAGCTGTACTATCCTGACTTCGACGATGATCAGAGACGACAGATCTGGCAGACATTCATAGATAAACTCGCCAAAGAACGAGGCGACTATATGAGGCTCAACGTCGATGCAAAACTATATCAGGGGTGCCGAAATGCGGGCCCTCAAGTGGAACGGGCGGGAAATCAGAAAATGGTTAGTCGTGAACTAATATTGTGCATATCTCCTCAATTTTTCCCTTTCTAATCAATGTTGTAATCATAGCGTTCCAAACTGCTGTGTCATTAGCAGAGTATGATGCTGAGATAGGTGAGGATGGGAAGATCATGATCACAGACGAGCATCTGAGAGCAGTCGTTGAACTCTCTAAGGATTTCAAGAATTATCTCAATGAGCTCCATAAAGGAGACGAAGGGAAACGGGCAGAACGCAAATATGAGCGTTTGGATTCATATGATAAAAGTTAGTTCCTAACCTAGGAGCTAACTTGTTTGATATTCGAGGATTTTCCTATAAAAGACTGAATGATGAAATGCTTCAACATATTTTTATTTCATACGCTATCTAGATTCCTCTTCCTTTCCCCACATAAAAAAAGGGGACATACCCCTGATATTTTAATATCTCCACCGTCTTATGTGAGTGTGAGGCTATGAATTTCTTATGCTACTAGATAATTATATCTAAAGAAAGCAGTGTAGGAAATCAGATTGGTTGGAATGGTGAAAGTGGTGTGCAAGTCGAAGAATGCCTTTCCGTCAAGCTTTCACGTCATTATACATTCAACCCCTCGAAGTGGAATCCTTTGTACCCGTTCAATGCGCTATATCCCAGGCTCGCTTTGTAGTTCGGCACGCCTCCTAAGTACATCTGCGATGCTCTTGGCTTCCCGGCAATACCGTCACCCATGTACCACTATTCATTCAAAATGTTAGCGTCTCCGTATTTTGACATGACAAAGGTTTCTTTGGTATCAACTTACACCCTTGGCCTTCGGAAGAAGCGATGCGTTTGTCACGCCTTCCACGTGCTCGGTCCATGTTTTCTCGCCTTCTTCATCCGCCACAATGCTGTTGATCCCCGCCTGGCGGAGGCGGTTCATGACGTCGGCGATCCAGTTGCCCTGGATCTCAGAACACGTGGGGCCGTTGCAGAAAGCTGACGGAGACTGAGGTCCGTTCGAAAAAAACATGTTCGGGAATCCGGCGATGCAGATACCGCAGAATGTGCTAGGTCCTTGCTTATGGAACTTGTCCTTCACGGTCTGGCCACCGATCCCGCGGATATCCATGGTAGTCAGGCCGCCCGTGACGGCATCAAAGCCGGTCGCAAGAACTAGGAAATCAAGTCAATATCCACCACAAGGATCCAAACAAGCGGGTAGTCACTTACTAATTACGTTAAATTCCAACTCCTTCTCGGTTGTCTTAATTCCATTCTCTGTTACTTCAACGATGGGGGTCTCATTAACGTCAACGAGGTCTACATTTGGCTTGTTGAACATGTCGAAGTACCCATTTTCGAGCGGTACCCGCTTGCACCCAAACGGATAGGGCTGATTTGTAGGCGCCAAAAGTTCTCGGTGCCTAGGGTCGTTAAGACGAGCTCGCGTCTTCTCGCGCCAGAACTTGTAGGCCTCGTGATTGGCCTCGGGGTTAAATAACATGTCTGAGTAGGTTCCAAGCCAGAAGGTGAAATCTCCATTCTTCCACAGGGCTTCGTAAGTAGCCTGCCGTGTAGCCTCATCATCGTCAAAGGTTTTCTTCGGGAGGAGTTCGAAATCGAAACCCCAATAGCGGTCATGACAGGTATCAAAGAATTCTGCCAATGCCTCTTTAGGCATAGGTTCTTCATCATCGGCATACTGTATCTGTCTCATTCGCAATGGCATGGCAGGCGTACGCTGAAATACTACGAGCTCCCCAGCCACCTCGCTTACAGCGTGAGATAGCTGGACGCCGGTAGAGCCTGTGCCAACAACGGCAACCTTCTTGCCCCTTAGATCCGGCTCATCATGCGGCCAGTAAGAAGAATGAACTATAAGGCCTTTGAATGACTCAATGCCTTTCCATTTAGGAGTCGACCGACTAGCTGCAATTCCGGTGTGCGGCAAAAAGAATGTTGACTTGAAGACCCGGCCATCTTTTGCCGTGATAACCCACTTGAACTCGTTCTCATCCCAAATAGCTGAGGTGATATAGGTATCGAAGTAGGTGTCTTTTCTAAGGTCCCATTTCTCTGCCACAAATTCGAAATATTCTCGTAGTTCCTTGTGGTCGGGAAATCGCTGCTTCCAGTGCCAGTTCTGCCAGAGTTCGGGGTCCGAGAACTGGTAGTGGGGCGCATGGCTATCAACACGGGCACCTGGATACCTGTTCCAGTACCAGATCCCACCGTAGCCAGAACCTGACTCTACAAGCTTGACCTTATAACCCTCGTCCCGGAGCTTTTTGAGTTGGTATACACCAGAGAAGCCAGCTCCGATAATGAGAGCATCTAGCTCTTCAACGCGGTTTGCTTCGAGTGAGCCCATTTTGCGTCAACTTAAATCTATAGCTCGAGTTAGATACGCCTACTAGGGTGTTGTGTCATAGTTTAATCTTACATCTTAGAGTTAGATAGAGGTGAGAGTTAGAATATCGAAATCTGAACTTGTCTAAACCTGCAAGACGAAATACTCTCAGTTTTAAGGCCTGATGGGTCCGTTTTGATATTAGATTTCCTGGACAAAGGATCGGGGATGGCGATTTATATACACCTCCCCAAAAAGAAGTGCTCTACTCAGAACGGCGGTCACATAACTATTCACATAGTGTTACGCATTGCCCCTCGGGGAATTTTGTGAAAGCCGAGTTTGTTGGTGCTTTCAACAGGTGTAGTTCGGGGCATGTGGACAGACAAAGACGTTAAAGCGTAGGAAAGGGTCTAGCTTGAATGGTTCCCACGTTACCTTAGGGGTCTTTTCTAGCCATGCAGGATGAGTCCCTTATCCTGTTTCCCGCTATTTTAACGGGCCTATGGTTGAGCATGTTTCCCTTGCACAAACTCATATTTGGAGCATTCGCTCTACACGTGTATTACATGTTCTCGGAGTATCCCTATTCGCCCTTCTTTATTTCCAGCTAATATGCTATACCAAAAGCAGGCTCCAGTCCTGCCGCTAGGGAAACAAAGGTATACAATCTTCTCAATACCACAGCGAAGATGAGATGACCGCAGCATTCCGCATATTATGGTCCGGTAATTTCATAATACAAACTTTAATTGACTCTTTATCTTAACCCTTGACCCCTCATCAGTGCTACTCGAAATTGTCGGTACAATCATTCATGCTTCGAATACGATACCACCCTACTTCTTTATTTATGTGATCATATCTTACCACCTGTATGGTCAGAATCCGATGCTTTGACTTCAACGCTAAACCACGTAGAGATTTTCTTTATATCTATGTCATAGGTGTTCCAGTTATTGAGATGCCTTGCAACTAATACATGTAGCTCTGGAATGCCAGTGTGGCCAATCCTCACCAATACCTTGGAATACCATACTAAGATTGGGGCTAAAGAATCCAGTTATTTTCCAGGATCTCCATAATTCATATATGTGCTTAGGATAGGAGATCATAGGAAGACTTTAAAGTTACGAGCGGGCCATTCATCGGTAGATTCTACAATTACATCTAGTTCTTATTCCCGGTCAAGTATACTTAATATTATCCCCTAAGCTCGATCAGGGGTTATGATTCCACATCGTTTTATCGTATTTCACGAAATATATCTATGAAATCAAGCATTTCATGAATGCTAATTTGGTAATCATTTATAAGTCTAGGTATAAATTCCGCATTGCATCATTCATTTTCTATCAGATATTACGTAGGACCAACAGGAACCCCGACAGGCCAATGAACCAATTCAGCTTCGAATATTTTATCCAAGATACATTTTTCAATTTGACATCAAATTGAACCTTTCCAGCCTATTTTACGGCAATAGTTAGCGAGATAAAATGTATGGCTATTTCCGGAGTTACACAAGCCCCCTAAAAGGACGTGCCTCGAATCTCAACGTGGAATATCAGGGTGGAGGGGTTTTATATCGCTGGAAGCATGTTAGCCATGATTTCCTATGTCTCAATTTCCATAATTGATTGTTGTTAGCACATGGCTCTTTTGATTATTCAAGTATCATAAACTCTTCGTATTAGATATCTTAAAGTAACTAATATACTATATGCATACAAATTAATACAAAGGCAATACAGCATAGATCTAACAAATACAATAAATGATCCTCTTTTTTAGTTTAACATATCATCACAGCGTAGTAATTTCCTGCTTGTGGTACGCTTGCAACCTCATGCACATCTCCGATATCCCCTTCAAGAAGTTTCGTGACCTTCGGAGCTCACACCCACGGTTTTCACACAACAGAAGCCATTGATAGTCTTAGAAAATATCGTCAGGAGGCGCCAACTTAGACGTCATAGTTCCTGTGATAGTTTTAATATAGGGTAGCTTCCGTTGCTGCAGGAACGCTACTCGACCATGGTTCAAGCTTACCTGCTGCCTTGTGTACCCTAACAGATGACTTATTAACGGCTACCCCGGAAGAACCATACAATTTATGGGGGGGAATCTCGTTGAATTTTCGGAAACCCCATACAAGGAGGCTGAATTTACCTAGGATAATCCTGCATAATCAAACCCGACGGTTCGGGTTTGATAATTCCTCTTAAGCCATTGGCTAAATGTATATAACGGTTATTCACGGTATATATACACTTCAAGATGCATTCTAACCTCTGTGTTGGATTTTTTAGACTTTGGAACAACTTGTTTGACACCTTACAGGCGAGTTGATGATGAACTAGAGAATTGGTAACTTGCTTTTATTCAGACTTGGATTTAATAGTTCAAGATATTAGCATGGTATCCAATGTATTATATTGGCAAGATGTATATATTATTCAATGCTTTATCCTTGAAATTGCGCTTAAACTACTTCCGCCTAGATTTTAGCTCTACATTTAGTCTTGTTAGAACCTTCCACCTCATTGTCGATCTTAGATACCTAGGTAGGTATACCTAATGTGCGTAATGTTAGCCCCCTGATTTTTCAAACCTTCATGCAAAACGGTTGCATTGAACCTAAACCCCACTAGCTACCGAGATGTATCATGTGTGCATACATGTTCGATCGCGATCGGAGGGTTACAACCATACGAGACCCTACCATGCCTTAGGTAGTAACTATGAGGCTATTATGAGAAGGGTTGATGTGCTATTCCCGTGTTATGGCCACCACATGGTAGCACACCGTCTCATTCGGACCATTGAGTTGGTCCTCATCCGTCAGCGGGTTAGATGATTAATGCATCAGTGGATCGCGACGTCTGTCTGTTAGTAGCTTACGATGCAGTCATACATAACAACCTATAACAGATATATAAATTTATGTAGTAACTATGTCTTCCTACTTATGTAAACTTCTCATCAGCCTTATTCAGCCTTATAGAGCGTCGAAAAGTGCATATCTTACGAGAGGTCCTGCATAACTAGTGTATGTAACGGCCAAGTTGATGCATGTCAGCTGGTAAGCTTGAATGCTATTGGATCATAGGTGAAGTTCGGGATTCGGTATGAATTAAATGTTGTACTTGATCGACCAACATTTAATTGCGACTAATAAGCAGATCCTTCATAGATGTATAATGCTTAGAGTGCAGGCAGAGGTATCGGCGATAAAGAGATGGTCCCCCCTATCCCGGTGTCTTCTTTAGGTATTAAGGACGACACTGCGGCTTAATACTCATATTTCTTTTTACTTGGTTAGCTAGCATTTCTTTCTTTATAGTGTTTTCCCTCGGCGTCAAGAATAAGTAAACAAAGACGCCGAGTATACCTCAACCTGTATCAAGCTTCTATTGAAAAGAGGCCATAAAATTTCTAATTCGCAAAGGGTTAAAAGAAGGTTGCAGAAACCTTGCCGCTCTTAGTATAAGATTCGTCTAATTTCGCAATCTAATCCACGTACATTGAACATTATAAAAATTTCCAGTCTGGTGATTTTGATGCAAGTTATCGTAGCAGTGGAATTTTCCTCGTGCCCAACTCCTGACTATTCCCAGACCTGTCCAAGGTAACTCTACCATTTTTTGCGCTCCTGTGATCCTTTATAGGGCCACCAGTAACTCCGAGGAATAATTAGTGAGTATATCGTCTAAGACAGAGTTGCTAACAAATCCCATATGTGATTAAAAATATCATATTCTATGAAGTAGTAGCCTACCATATATTAGTATCAGTGCGTTACAATAGGATAAGCAAGTTACATTCGTACATCGAGTTTTATAATGACTTTCCCCCACGTTTGACCCATCACTCATCACTTATGCTTCTAGTTTCCAGGGCAAGAATGTAAATATACATACGACAGACTGGTCATGGGCTTAATATCATAATCCATTCATCGCAGCAGCTTATACCAATAGGCGAAAGACGGATATCTCGGATTCTAAAGACAAGTGATCAAACACTCGGCGTTGCCCACGAAAACACCACCAAACAAGACTCTCGGCATTTATATTTCAAAATTATATAATATCTCAGAATAATTTTAATTTTTACTTGAAAAAGGAGTCGAATACCAGAATTGATAAGTGCTTGTTGGTAAATGGAGACTTGAGATAATCAACAGGGAACTTGAAATGACCATTCCACCAAGTACCTAGGTAACTAAATTTAAATTAAATAAATAGAACAAATTATTGATAATTTCCCATTATAATTGTATAAGACAGTAAAACTGTTGTTATTTTAACGTTGATACTCCTTCATGTTACACTGGCGGATTACCTAATAAGGTATACAAACTGTGTAGCCCCGCCATACGTGGCTAGTATTATTTATACGTACCACTAGAACCTACCTGCAAGGCTGATTACCAGCCACATCCACTTGGGGGGGGTGAACTGGGAGCTTATGCAGCTAAGGCTGGCAACGCGCAGCTCAAGTTGCCTAACGAATGAAGCTCCCTCAATCAAACATCACCAAACACCGCCGAGCTTCATTCCACTCATATTCCCTCTCCAAATCTATACAACTATTATATCCCTGTTGTCTCGTGCACACATAAATCAACATGGTAAGCTTAATTAATCAAAATTATACCATTCACAAGCTTACATTCCTTTTAAAAATAGACGTCAATAGGAACGGGCTACGATCTTGCCACAACTCTTCTCCGCCTGATGGACGAAATTTTCAAGTTGAATATGCAAGTAAAGGCGCGTAGAGAACGGTGGCACTTCAGTCGGTATTCGATGCAAGGATGGAGTGGTCCTAGCAGTCGAGAAAGTCGTCACATCCAAGCTACTAAAGCCCGGCGCAAACAAGAGGATTGCGACGATCGACAGACATCTAGGAGTTGTATGTTGCCTTATATCCCTTACATCTACTATCATAAATGTTACTAACACATATTCGTTTGGTAGGTCTACTCAGGCATGGTACCTGACGGCCACCACTTCGTCGACCGAGCCCGAGACGAGGCCCGCGCCTGGCGCGAAACCTTTAAGACGCCTATCTCCACATCAGATCTAGCAAGCCGCATGGGCGGGTACCTACAAGCCTACACACTCTACCAATCTGTTCGCCCTTTTGGAATTACTGCTATTGTAGGCGGCTTTGACTCGGAGCTTGAGGCACCCGTCGATGGTGAAGTCGGCTCCGGCCCCTCTGTCGGTGCCGGTGGTAAGGTAGAAGGCAAGAAGCACGGTGGTCCGGGTCTCTACATGATCGAGCCGAGCGGTATGTACTGGGGATACTACGGCGCAGCAACGGGCAAGGGCCGCCAAGCCGCCAAGGCGGAACTCGAGAAGCTAAATCTCACCGAGGGCACCCTCGACCTGAAGCAGGCCGTCAAGGAAGCAGCAAGAATTATCTACGTCGCGCAGCAAGACAACAAGGATAAGGAGTTCGAGCTGGAGATGAGCTGGATTAGTGGGGTTGACGGCCCAACCAAGGGCCGGCACCAGGATGTGCCTAAGGACCTCCTCGAAGAGGCCGAACGCTTAGCAAAGAAGGCCCTCTCGGAGGACGATGAGGAAGAAGAAGAGGAAAAGAGTGATGATAAGATGGAAGAATAAAGTAGCCATCTAACCATTCGGTCAGGGGAAGCGTGACTGTACTTGTACAACTACGTGGCGAAGCGCTCGGGATAGGGCGAGGCTCATAGACTAATTTCTTATAAGAGCCACGATTTCTGATCGACACTCATATGGTGACGGTTTCATGTCACCTTCTATCCTTAAGTAGACCCATTAGAGCTCCCTAATTCTTTATGATGATGAAAATCTTGTTAACATCCAAAGGATTTGCAGACTACCTAGGTACCTTAGGTACCTAAAGGCGTACATCCTCCACAGCTCTTTACTGGAAGTAAAAACTCGCAGTAGTGTGCTTTGTTTCTAACCCCAGAAACCCCTTGTAGTTTTCACGGTATCCACAGCTTATCCTGCCTGCGGGGTTTAGGTTATTTGCAAACAGGTCCAAAGCATTCACCATATGAGCGCTAAGTATCCTCTACTATGTATTTCTCACTTCAATAGCAAGTAATCAGCTCAGTGTAGACCCAGAATCACGAGTAGGACCAGCACAATTATGAAGAGACCCTTTCGAATGTTAGATGATTGAATTGTTCAACGCATTAAACTCGGAATTCTACGCAAATGAGGCTAAAAGCCAATGTTGCAGTGAGCATCGCAATATATCTTCTGACCAGCCATGTCAGGTTATCCTCCCCTTGTTTGTCCTCTCTCAAGTTCTACTCCTGTCCGATCGGTGTTCTCGGGTGGACCCGATGGAACTGCCAGTGGTCGGACGCGTTCTCTCCCTCTCCCTCTCGACGCCACCTGGCCATGAGCGTCACTGAGTGACCTTCCTTCCGGAGAGCTTCCTTGTTCTCATCCACCCAGTCTTGCACATTTGCCGGTACCTTAGGCGTGACAGGGACTCTGTACTTGGCCCATTGGTTGAAGTGCGTGGGAAGGATTGCGTTCTGGTTGTTGTGCTCGAGACCGCCAAATCTGTTGATCCACTGAGAGAATCTCGGATGGCGATACATGAGATCAGTCCACTTCTGCATTGCAGCCGGACTCACGTGCTCCATTGCGCCCGGAGTTAGTGGACCGCGGGCAGTCAACAGGTCCTCCATGAACAATAGTAGCTTACGATGGAAGCGACCTCTCTGATTCTGTAAGAAGACCTCGTAGAGGCCGGCAGCATCAAACGGACAATCTCGAGGATTGAACTCGACCCTAGTATCGCTTCGCACACTGAGACCCCAGGTGTACTTGATGACGATAAGACGCAGGCAGTAGTTGGCAAGCTCGTGCATCTCAAGGGTGAGTGCTGCATGCCAAAGAGCCTCGATGTCGCTGTTGTGACCAATGGTAGCGTCGCTCGAGTCAGAAGGGTCCATCAACCTTCCGACATAACACCACTGAATGATCTGCTTCCAGATCATAATAGCTCTACGACCATTCTCACCAAACGCTATCCAGAAGGCAGAGACAGGATTTGATTCTCGTTCCATGGCGTTCTTGATGACTGGGGACCAGTAACAGAGCAAGCTGGCATGGCAGGTGACATGGTAACGGTCGCGTCTCACTGCGTATCCGATCGCGATCATTCGTTGGCTTCCGTTGGCCAAGCTGTCCTTTGTGAGCTTCATTGACTTCCATAGTAATAATCATAACATGGTGATGAAATGATGTTTCACTCACATTGCTGCAACAACCTGCGTGTGCTCATAAAGCTCGCGACTGACCTCACACTGTCCCTTCAAGCCATAGGAGCATGGCTCACAAGTGCAATACTTGATGAACTCGGAACCGGTCGGCATTCCAGACATCTTGGCTGACGATGACGAGTAGTCTCTGCAGGTTGTACCTATATGTATGGAACAAATGCAGGTGCTGGGTGTAGGATGGTAAGAGTGTTGAGAAGGTGATCAAAGGAAAAGAAAGTTTCAAGGAAGGATGTTGTCGTCGCTCTGAAGAATATTCTAGAGGATCGCTCGGCCAGCAGGATGTGAAAAGAAGACAGAAATTCGAGGAAACCACATTCAATGAAATTATGATGTCGCGGGTGAGTCGCTCGCAACTGAACTCGCCACCGAAACTGGGTGAGATCTGACAGAAGAACTGCTCATAAAAGAAGGTTCCGGTGAGTGCTCACAGAAGAAAGTAGAAGATGGAAGGGAAATTTGGATGTGCTTCTGTAGGGTTAAATGGACTCTGGGAAGTAGGGTGCGACGAGAAGCAGAATATTTGCGTGAGAATTTAAAAATTACCCACGAGATACCATGTGTCCTCACCTATCACCCCCTCTTCGTCTTGTCTCTAGGTTTCTGATGAGGTGCTAAAGAAAATATTGTATGATGTGCGACCGTCGATGAGGTCTAGAAAACTGCACAACAAGCGTCGCTGTCCCTTATGACTTGAAAAGAGACGAAAATGCCTTGTGGGTGCAAACTATAGACCTAGTGCTCTCCTCAACAAAGATAGACAGGACGTTTAGAAGATATGTGCTTGATACGTCTAGGGTAAATATGTCATGAGATTTCAGATCGAACCTCTGTCGTTCTAGTTCGCGTCTTATGTTCATGGAGCTATGTCCATTTGAATCTTGACTCACAAATAGCGCCTTGGTGAGAGTAGCACAGACTCAACTAGGAAGTAAGGATTTAAACCAGACACCAATTACATAAAATCGCATTGGTGGATTAAGAAAGGACCTGCAGGAGCCTCCTTATTTTGCCCACCCAGTGCGGCCCCAGCTCCGGTACCTGCCTTGTGTTTTTCTGCTGTACATACTAGTTCACTATTGTGGCCCCCCTAGGGTCATGAGGCTATGGTACCCCATGGGGAAGCTACACGATCAACCTATTGGCCAAAAAGGAGCGCCTTCCCCGATGTAGTATGTGACTAGTATAACTATCATGAATCTTCTCTCGGAAGTCGGCAGGCAGGGGGAAGGTGTTAAGATCTAAGCCTATCCTAAGGGGCGATCTTGTACCTTGCTACAGGACAAATAAAATCGTCCAATTCATGCTTCCTAGGAAAAGGTGTGAAACAAGGGGCTCAACACTCATGGCCCACATATCAATGTGCTGTCGAAAGGAGGAAGTAGCAAAAGATACCTTGGAACTTCAATACATTCTCAACGAAAGTGAAGTATAATGTATTCCTCATCTGGAGTGGGTGTGCGCAATTTATTCGTACAGCATTGTATTTTTCATGACATGATCTAGAAACCCTTCTAAAATTGTTGCACTTACTGGTTTGCCCCTTTGGATAAAGGTTGATAGAATCCCAAGTGTAAATCACTCAGAAGCTGAATAAGAATAGGTAAGGTACATTATTAGTATTAGCATCCAAGCGAAACTGTGTGAAAGTAAAATCACGATGCAACCCAGGGCTGCACACCCTAGCTTACCTCTTAAGTCAGCTCCGTCTGAAGTTGTTGTAGGTACTTTTGGGGATACGCTAGGTAGCCAGTGATCTGGGGAGGAAAATGAATTCAATATTAATATATTAGCACTGGAAAATAGGATATGCCGCTATGTACAGTCTCAGCTACATCCAAACCACGGGATTGATTACGATCATGGGCTATTAATGAAGTAATAGGTGAATCTGATAGAGTAGAGAATAGAAATGAACATAGAAAAAAGAAAAAGAAATAATCATCGACCAAAGGACTGCAGTAAGAATATTAATCTACAACTATTTTTATTAGCATATTACCCTGCTTCCGTCCTTCTACGATAACTATATCCTTGGGCATAGGTGGTAGGAACTGAACTGTACTGGGCCGGTGCTCAAACGGTATAATAACCAATTCAAAATAGTTATAACATCAGGTGTTGGATATCCTCTCTTCATCTTGTCTTATATTGACGATATCCTTCAAAATGTAAAGTATGATAAATTACCTATGACATGATGAATTACTTTCCTCAGTATCCAGAGACTACTATATTTCTTGCTAAATACCTATGTAAGATTCATACAATATACTTAGATATTTCAATTGAAGCTATTACGACCCTAAATGAGACATCCAGAACAAGGGGTACTCCCAGTATGTATAGCCACAGGTACCTGATTAGAGCTCCTTCCGGAATAACGATGCTGTTTCCATGTTTCTCGCTCTATCTTGTAATAGAATCTCTACCAATAACATATGTATCCAGGTACTTACATGTAGTTAATTACCTCTATATGAAGCAAAAACCAGTTGCTCCTACCTTAAATTTATAATCAACACACCTACTTCCTTGGTCAATCTAAGATCTACATCGAGCTGCTTCCCAGAAATCTATTGATTCCTTCAATTTAGCAACATCTATAGATTAGGTACCTAGCTCAATATCATCTATTTGTGATATTGCTCCCATCTGAGAACCGCCAGAGACCACCATAAAAGAAAGTTCACTAACACTTGTATACGTCCTTTTACAGCTTTGATCATACCAGTCCCTATAACAGAGCAGGGTTCTTACTCTCTTAGATAAACTGCATATGTGAAGTATTTGCGTTCTCGGTGCATGCAAGATATAGTATTGACCCATCCTCTCTTTCCTTTAACAGTATGTACCGATATGTACCGGCTCCGCTTGGACCCACATCGGCCCCCGCACTCGCCCCGTGCCGGATGTGGGTCCAGGCCGTACCTACCTAAAACATGCATGTAATTGCCGCTAGAAGCACAGACCACATATGAAAGAAGCAACATCTTTGGGAAAGAGATTCCTTGATCAACATTATAGATATTAAGCTCTTCCCTTATTAGTCTAAATAGAGCAGCAATGCCATATTGCCACTTCCTAAGTCTACTATGTTCATTGTTGCTATCTCTAAGCCATCAATACCGGTACCAAGGAAGTTCCTACACCCTGCTCTGCCAAGTTTTCTGGTAGAGGTGTATGACGATCGAGAATACTGAATTAGTTGAAACATGAAGTAACAGTAATAACCCTCTAACAAAAGAGGGTTCAGAGTCCCTCGTGAATAAACTAACTTGCCACATAATACTTACCTTCTATAATGTTAATGTTAGTATAGTCGCTTCAAATACAGTAGTTACTTTGCGTATTGCAATTTGCACTTCATATTACTAAGTAGCTATATTACATAGCCCTTAGACCAGAGGGTTTTAACCGGGTATCATCCACCACCCCCCTGGAGCGCAAATAAATCCATGCGTCCATAACAGCAAACCTCTAGGGACCAGGTATCAAAGCAGTAGTAACTAATGTACAACCAGCAGCAAGATGGTCAAGCTAATGAATCCTGCACCCAAGATGAGTAGGGAGGTATAATCACGTTGAAGACCACGAGCCCTAACGCCATATCCCAGTTCCTTAATACCTGGAAAATAACGTGGGCTCTCATTTTGGTTTTACAACCCTTCCCGTGTCCGCAGTCAATCTGGTCTCCTAACGTCTGCAACGCAATGTGTAATTCTTTGCCGAACCCCCCTGCACTTCGCCCAAAGTGCATCTCGTTCATGGCATGGCTTCCTGCTTGGGTTGCGTAAATAGTACGGCTTCATCTGGGGCGAGAGTAATGCGGGTCTTCGTGCCGAAAAAGTTCCGGAATGCATAAACAAAAACAAAAATAAGGAAATCGTAGTGGCAGGTAGTGTGGATCGTGATGGACCGCGATCATATCGGACGTAGTACTTCCTCGTATTGCTGAGGAAGCATCGAAATCGTAGAAAATAGTAGTCAGACTCGTAAGGAAATAAGCGATTCGTGAGTAAGCACCACACGAAATGGAAGTGCAGAACAGGATGTCTCGACGTTGGGACTCAGAAGCCTAAGCTTTGATATCTGTCGAAAGAATAGGTCGGGTGTCTGGGTGAAAAAAGACCAGACGCCAGACCCTTAAAACCATACGCCATGCTCTGATAACAAATTATGAGGATTAAAAAAAGAGGCACCGGCCAAATGAGCAGATTAGATACCGGATCCAACATAGCTCAGGGCAATGCAACCGACCGGTATGCTATGCAAATGCCTGTCTAATGCTGAAACGAAAAATGGGTATAATAAAAACAAAGTCGACTAAATCAAATAACCCAGTCGGAAATAAGGACATCAAAGAATTGATGAAGGTGGTACGATGACTAGTAGTGTCAATAGGAAAGAGACAGTAGTCTCGGAGTTGCTCTGGCCTGGAAAAGGCTTGTGGATATTTAAAAGGATGCCATGCGACGGGCAGGCGATCGGTTGTTGCCAAGGATCGGTGAGTTGCCAATCATCATGACCGGCGAAGGGTGTTCATAGCGTCTCTCAGGGGCAGTAGGAGAAGCTTCAACCATTGACTCTCGATGCCCAAAAGCAAAGGTCTTGGCTCTACCCAGACCTTTTCGCTTCTGTTGCAACTTGCCCAATTCGCGCTCGCAAGTTCTAGCATGCTCCTCAGCACCCATCTCGACGTAGGCTTGCGGGTAGCATCGTTCGCGATTCTCAATGAAGAACTCGCTGTATCCCCCTTCGAGGATATAGACCTCTGGGTACGTAAGTCTCGGATAGTACTCAGCGTTGACCATGCGGTCCGATGCCCGGATGTGGCGGGCCATCATTGGTGCACGGCAAGCAGAATATTCGCAGTGGAAAATTAACAATGTTTTTCCATGCATTGGATTCTCGAAGAGGTGCTTCGCAAGGAGTTCCTTGTCATTGTAGTTGATAGCAGCGTCAATATGACCTCCTTCATACTCATATTCGAATCGACAGTCGATTACCATCTTCTGCGTGTAAACATCGTTGAATTTTCCATCTAATACATCAAGGAAAGTATCTCTCGAAATTCTCGGGATGCTATCGTTCTCGCATCGGGGTAAAAATGGGGTAAAATCGGGTCTTGGGATTCCTCAACATCCATCACAGATTGCAACGTGCTACGGGAAGCAGGTTCTTCTGAGCTAGCCTTGACAACATCGTCTGGGCTGTCAAACATGCTGATCGATCGACGGTACTGCCGACGAGGTCGTGCAAATGGATTTGACACCCGACGAACGTGACTAGGAATAGGGGAACCTGAGCCTGTGCGAATATCTCGAGCCCCGTTAAGTGTTGCGAACTGAGCCTTGGACCGAGCACAGCCAGCATTGCCAGGGGTAGGGCTATGCGCCGTAGAGGGTCTCCGATCTTGAAGGGGAGAGTCGTCGAAACAGTCGCCAGGAGACATTGTTGCCGATTGGGGCCCAAAGCGAAAAGTAGAAACTTGGTTTTCTGGATGCAACTTCGTAGAGAGAAGAGCGCTGGTAGTGTGGCCCTTAGTTCGAGATAAAGAGGGTCGGCGTAATCCTCCTCGCTTTCGGCTACTGTGCCTCTTATTAGTATTACTAAGATCATGCCAGTTTTTACTACAATATAGAACCTACTCAAACAACACCTTCGACGGCTCCAAGCCCATAGAAGATTGCCGAGTCACGGGTATGGGCGACTCCATCATCACATCATCCCCAGGCGTCCCCTGAGGCGTAGGTGAGGCAACCTCAAATGAGCTGAAGAATGGCTCCTTATTAGGTAAGGGCGAGATATCCATAGCATCATATCCTCCCAAAGGAGAGGAGGTGACTGGTAGCGGTGGAGTCGTAACGTAACCTATCTAAATATTAGTATTTAACGCCCGGTTACCGTGCCGAAGACACTTTTCCTAACATACCCCGATTCTCGATGGCTTCCATCATATTTGATGTAAAAAGTGCACGACGCGGAGTCGGGAATCGGGGACTAAATAACCATATTAGTACGAATTCGCCTTCAGTATTGTATATTCAACACACCTATCCTCGCTATCAATTCGGAAGTTTTGCGAAAGATCTGCTGCGAGACTAGCAGCGGGAGAAGAACCTCGGATTGTCGAGTTGAAATAATCAGGGTTAGACCGATGTAGCTGCTCGCGAATAGCAATATTACCGGATCCGAAAGGGTTCCGGGAAGGCAAATAATGACGAGACTGTTGTCCCCAAGCCGGAGTTGGGGTGGGGCGCATGGCCGCCAAAGGTGAAGAGGCATCCATAGTTGATGAATGACAAAACTGAGGATGTATGATAATAACCTTTACTCCTCAATGTTTACTTCTGATGACAATCGACTTGTAGGATACGACTGTAATATACCGAGCGCCGTAGTTAACGAATGCTCCCCGTATTCTATGATGTAACAGGTTGTATCTAATCTCCCAGAAACCAACTCTTACTAAATTCCTTGAAGTTCCTGTATACCAGGGAGTTTAATGGCCGATCGAGATGATGTTTAAGTCTAAGGAATTAGGTAGTTTCGTAATCCTGGATTCCAATTGGCGTAGGATTCGGTCGAATTGGCCTTGAATACCGAATTTTATGTACAATGGGACTATAGTTACAAAAATTTTAGTTCTCAGATCTCGTCAATTCTAATTGGTATAGTACAATTATAGGATTTAATAGTTCAGATGCGCTTATTCGCAAATTCCCGTATTTGAATATTGCGGGGTGAAGCTATATCCAAGTAATGTTCGCACGTACCTTGTGCAGCTGAACTGCGAAGTAAGAATTGCCTAAATAGGAAGGTCGGTGGTCCAGGTGTAAGTAGAAAGATGTACGGGTTTTCCTTATAGCAAGCTTAGGAGTCAATTGTCTATCGGATGTGGCGAATTGGTCGCTAAGTCTATCGGTGCAGTATCGAATAAATCCCTAAGCCGGTGACCGGTGAACTGTAGATCAGATCTGATTAGATCGTCCCGTCTAAACGACACCAAGATGAACACTTTGTTATGCCGAACACGTCTACCCCTAAGAGACATGTATAAACTTGTCGTAGAAAGCGGCACCTGGGTGTTGTTAAGAAAGGGACGTCGACTTTAAGAGGTCGGCTGCAGGAGGGAAGAGTGAACGTGAAAAAGGTAGAAGGGGTTTTGATGCTTTTTGTTCTCTAGCTGACGGTTTGCAGAAGCCGGTAGCCAGTAGTGTGGAGAAATCAGTTACAATGGTGGTTGCGAGGTAACACAGGCCTGTCCTAGGCCTACGCATCCAATCCCAGCTCAGGACAGTCTTTTTCAGTGCCCACTAACTTACCGTCGCCAGGGCAATCCAGTGGGTGCTCGCCGTTGCCCAGGTTGCCCTGTAGCTGAAAATGGCAGCTACCAGGTACCTAGTGTCGTTGCTCACTGTTTTACCCGCCAAGCCGCCAGGGTCCCAAGTGGGATTGGTTCCATTGGTGGGACAGCGGGGCGCTAAAATTGCTAGAAGCTATTCTTTTGTAGTAAGAAACGTGTGAATTGGTTACATCATACCTAGCAACCAGCAAGCTTTAGCGGTGAATGCCTTGCAAGCCTTGTATTTCTATCCTTTTTTTTGCTATTTAGTACTGTATCTTAGGCCCTGACAATTGAAGTTCACAAACATCCCATTGTTAAGCAAAGCCCTGATGGTTTCATATTTGCAGCATATGCAGATCATGGACCCAAAACTTGGATTGTCCACCTACTTTTGTATCCTCTAACACGAGCTGAACAGGTCACCTACATCAGGTACGTATATCTTTCAATTCGTCCAAGTGGAGATGCGTACGGATCCGTACACACATGTAGGTACATACACTATGTATGTATGTCCACTATCATGTAGGTACATACATACCTACCTAGGTACTATCCACATCCCTGGGCTAGGTATGTTAATAATCGCGATCCCACAAGCCAAAGCTACCGAATCATGCTCAATGCTCAGTGAGACAGTTCTTCCGCTCGGCTACTTGATCATCCTTCGTCAGACATGTTCACCCAAGTGAATAAAGAGCTTGGATTTAAGTAGTCCTATCCATAGATAGCTCGTACAAAGGTAGTATAACACACGGAAACGTACCGTCGCTACCGTTCCTCTCACCACCAACATCCTATATACCAAATACTTATATAGGGTACAATCACTTAATCATTTTATTATTCATCCTCTTAACTGGCAGCTACCCGAGGTAACAACCCGTCTATTATCGACATATTAATGCATCTGAGAATTATGCATACCATAGCTTAGCTTAGATTCCGCCCTATATATATACTATACCTACTATACCTACTCGGCGATCGTCTTGCAGATATTTCATACCGATATCTCATACAGGCTTTAAAACACCAGAAGGACATATTCGTCGTCTAGTCTAGGGAATACCCTAGTCTGTGACGAGTGCATCTGTTTGTACATACATACGGGCCCACCAATTAGTTTCCAGCGTTTGGCCATTAGCCCTGGTATCAATTGCAAGGTTTTGCGGGCTGAGACGAGCTATTCGAGCGGAAGTTTCGAAAAAATCTCCCAAAGCATGGCATGGTCCTCAGCCTTCCCTCGGAATAACTCGACTACGTTTTTCTATGTATCTTGTATAGTGTCGTCACTTTACCCGACCAGTTAAATTGTTAAGTCTTGATTTTTTATATAGAACTTCGACAGCTGCAATGAAGATAATATTTCCCCGGAACAATTCACTTGGCCAAGGGAATGAGGCTGTCTTGGTCTGATTACCTGATTCATACCACGTTTATTCATGTCTTATTGCTTCTCTAAGTCTCGGTTCTTTTATAAAGATTACCAGATGTCCGCCACAGTTAACGATTTTCTACGCTAGATTTTTTTTGAAGATGAACCCTGCTTGATTCTTGAATCCGCCATGTCCATTTGCCGGTACCTAGTCGGACCCGCGTCTCCGAACAGCTTAAGCCGAGCACCAATACGCCGTCAGGTAACGCAATGATGTTACCCCAGATCTTGTAAGCCCTCGAAGAACCATGTCGCTTGAGAGACCATTGCATGTTTTTGACGGATATTCTGTTTCGAATATATGACCGTATCGTGCTTCTATCAGATGTGAACAGTACATTAACTACGATGGAGCTTCAAATGAGTTCCGGGGTTCCACGATACAGTGCGCTGAAGGATCTTCCGGGGCTTCTTTGCTTTATTACCTAGCTTCTGACGGTTGCTACGGTGCTTGCAGCAATAAGCACGACCCTAGTTTGTTATACGCATGGATTACCTAGGATTACCGTCGTCTACATTCTACATATATACATATATATTACTATGTGTTGGGACCTGTTGAGGGAGAAAACGGCAAGGAACTTTCTTCCGGGCCGCACCGATAAGTAATAAGTAATCGATATTTTTCGCTAGCTTGCCCTTGAAGCTTTTTTTTTTTTTTTTTCAATCTAGACAGTATTAAGTAGTTGATGGTGTGCTTTTTACAATATCGAAATGACACTCATTATCAATCCCAGACTCGCTTGCGGCGTGTCCGGTAGTGATTGGACTTAGCAAGCGTAAGCCCCATCAGTCTATTTTGAAAATTTGAACCTCACCGACGCTTATGGTGCTATGGCCGCAGGCGAGCGGACGTACTGTACGACGATGTGGAGGAACTAGGTAGCTCTAGAACTTTTAAAGGCTTCTAACACCCCTTACGCTTTGAGCCTCACTCGGGGAAATTATTTTCACAAGCTCAAATTGAGGTAACGAAGCCTTAATTTGAAGTTTTAAAAGGGGCTTTTATTTACTCGATATCCATTATCCCAATCCAAATGTTGGATCCGTTCATCTCTACGGCAACGCGAAGCCCTAGATATATCACATAAAGGATAAATTAATTGCAGCACTAGTCCAAGCCACCAGAAACTTTTTAAGCCTGGGGACAGTCCGGATTTATCTTATCGGCTCCCTTTCGGTAGCTTTTTAAACAATAGGGAAACAAAATCGATAGTATGTGGACCATCTTCGATCGCACATTGAAGACCACGATCTCCTAGCTCGTGGCAGACGTCATCTACATGTTCCTACAAAAGGCAGGATCTTCACGGCCGCTCTCTAGCCTCATAGTCTCTAGGTTAAACGGTTTCGCACCGGTGCACTTGGTCGGAAAACTCAGTCGGAAACATATGCGCTTTACAATAGTCGACATTGTGCAGCAAACAAGATCCGAAGGTATTAGAAGGTATTGAGATCTTGATCACTGTTGATTGTTTACATTTCATAGATAGGTAATCGGGTGCTGTCGTGCTGACCGCCTTCGGATTACCTGCATAACTGTGCAGCAACGAGCACGATAAGGCGAATCACAGTAGTCGGGGAAGAAAGCAGCTGAAGACCCAATGAGATGGTTAGATTGCCTTGCCAACCTCGCGCTTACTATCGCCGAGCTCAATGCGCCTATTTAGTGACACCTTCAGCTGTCGCAAAAGAAGTCCTACCTCCAGACTAGGCAATCCCTTAGATAACGAACCTTTTAACGGTTAATCTAGAATACCAAGAATACATTTGAAGCCACTAGCGATTCATGAAATCAGGAGAATAAGCGGCTATTTCTAATGAGACAATATATGGTGCCATCTTATATTTAACAGGACCCGCCAGCAGTTGAATACGACTGTGATCAAATAATTGTGTGTGATTCAGATTGCACGAGCTTGTTTGATATCTAACAAGGGGGTACCCGTAAGTGTCCGCCGAGATGCGGAGATGGGAAAAGGAAAGATGGGAAGAAGAGGGGTTGTTTAACAGGTACAAAAAGTAAATACCAAGACCGCGCAAGCTCGCGTGTCACTGTAAACATTTACCCATGTCCATCACGATATCACGAGGGGCGGCTAAGCTTCAAATAGCTTAAAGCTGCGGGCAAAAGACATGGGAGCTTGGGGAAGCTCGGATCTCCAGAGTTACATTTTCGAAATCCTACACAACCTTGCAGCCCTGGCCATCTTAAGACTCTGGGCCATCCAGATGCGATCGACTTTATTACGCCCTCATGGAACCAATAACGGTTAGACTAAGGAACACCGATTGGCCCGTTTCGACGGACCTCAAATTCACACAGCCAACATATCTCACCTGACTACTACAGCCTCTGAAACGGCCGAGTCCATGCGAATGGGTCGTAGATAATCGGAAAATCCTGTTTAGCGTTCTTCCAACACGAAATATACGTACAATGTTTCCATTAGAGCCGCATATATCGTCATCAGATATCATGCACTGTTCTTATATCCCGAGTGCGGCAGCCAGGCCCATATATGTGCGGTACCAACCGGCTTTAGTAGTTTATATACATATTCTGACATTCAACGTTAGCAATCGTCAAAGACATTGTAATTTAAGAGGACCATGAGAGATATAGTAGGCTATTAAATCATTCAATCCTTCACATATATGAATTGTCCAAATTATCAGAGCGGTTAGTTCGGTTCCTTTAGGATTCGGGAATCCTGATCGAATGCGCGGTTTGATCACATGCCGGCAGGATTCAGCCTTCCAACGCGAGAGTGAGCTGCTTCGAAGAGAGTAAGATCCATGCAAAATGGCGCAGATGCTTGTGTTTCTGCTGTATTTTCACAGGTTCCGGTGGTATGATTTTCATGCGCCATACCACCCAGAGCCTCAACTAGCCACGAAGCTCCTGGTGAACGTAATAGAACGAGCTTAGTCCCTTAACTACGCTGCCACCAAATTTTGTCGCCTTACACTAACTACCAATCTATTCTTTAAGCAGTTCGATTCAGAGAAACGGATTTGGTATAACCCAAAGAGATGCATATTTTACCAAGACTTGGGTGTAATTGTTCAGCATTCCATTGACTGTGAAAATTGCATTGGCCGATAACGTTAGCTGTATTAGATTTATGGAACTCAGCGCAGCAACTGAACGAGAACCAAGTAAAATCGTGAAAAAATATAGAATAGCATAAGCTCTACGGCCCTGTAACTATGGAAAGACTAGCAATTACTAGAGTTGATACCAATCATATAGCTAGATGTAGTGACCATGCTCCAGTAAGGAGACTTTTCTCTCCAACTCCTCTACTTACTATTTGAATATAAAACAAGGCAATTATGCGTAGAAACTTAACGATATAATGTGCTGTCAAACACCTCGGCTAAATAATGTCTTTAAACCTATATACATCGACTTAAGATGCACTAGGATACTCATATATTAGGTAGGTATACATACGTAGTCATTATATACCTGTCTATGCAAGGTTAGGGACAAATTTGAAAGATAATCTCTTATTAGCTTCATTACCTAGCTATTGACAGTCTTTAGGTATTTAAATGTTACAGGTTAGGTAAATGGTTAGTTACCCGTCGAAAGAAGCATGTAAGAAATATGTGAAAATAGCTTAAAATCAACCATAGATCTTAAAGAGCTACCAGATAGTAATCTATTAAATCCATAATGTTATTTATATAGCTACATATAAACCATGTTTTATCTTATTAATGCTATGTTTATATTACGATGAAACATCATCATAATAAGTGCTATTTCCAATACCCTTCTGTTGATAAAACCATTTATCATTGATACCAAACCCTATTTATAGCTTCAAACTCATCACCAGTTTTCATGTGTAAATAAAAAAACAACGACCTTATATGATGCTGCCATAGGAAAAGTCTAAGTAAGCAGTCCTATATGTTTATTTATCTCTTGTTTCACTTATAGTCAAACATTAAAGCTAACTTTAAGAAACCTCTTTTATGCCTCCATTGTCTCAGTGTCGGCATTGACGTTACGTTAATGAATTTAGGCAAAGGGAGATTATCACCTCTGCCAAGAACTATATTGACACAGTAACTCTTAATTTTCCGGCGCGTCCATCTCTCTGATATAGACTCTATCAACTCATACTTCCTGCAACTTTAACACCTATTGGACAGTGTTTGATAGGACCTTCATTTATACTTTTCCCCTTAACAAGGGCATTGGTTGGTAGTTGAAGCAACCGGGAAAAATAACGCCTATCTTCCTAATTCTAGGCCTTCAAGTTACGATATAATCAGAACAACATGGTTTAGATAACTAGGACGTTAAATACTTAGGTAGGTACATAGGTGAATTGTATGGTCTCTATCATATGCCACTTTACACTATGTGTTTAAATGCACCATGCCACAACAACTCATTGCAGGTTTACTAAGGGACCCCGCATGGTAATTCAACTTATTAAAGCATGCGTGAAATCTATATTGACAGATTGAGTACAAGCGCCGAATGAGCTCCGTGATAGCCGATCACACTCACGAGAATCCCCACAAGAACGAGGGGAAGGGGAACTATTGAAAGCTAAATCCACTATGCACATTACCGGAATGCACTATTATAAACTTGGCCTAAGCACATTGCGCTAATCGGTAAGAACTTGCATTGGTTCTTGCTATCATAGAGCTAAGTTGACAATTGGTAGCGACATTGGTAGATCGTGAAGAGGTCTGAATATAACTTGTTTGATGGTTAAATTTGGGTCCAAAAAGAGCATTTACAACAACAACCATCCAACTTTTAAGTGCTAAGTTCCAAGATTAGCGAAAGCAACTTCGAATTATTTTCAGGGCGGGGAAGAATAAGAGCCTCGTGTTATTGTTTGGATATGACGTCAAATTGTACTTATAAAATTGCTCACGTTTTTTACGCGACGCATAAAAGCAGCTAACTTAGCTCAACCTAGAATGGTGGGGTGGAGGTACGCTAGCTGACATTAATCCACCGCCTGCCGTTTTGGGGTTGTAAAAAAGTGGCAGGATCTTATCGAGATCTTATCAAAATCTTATCAGAATCTTATCGTCGCAAAAAAAAAAAGTTGTTACTTAGAATTTAATACTAGCAATGTCCTCAGCGCATGCTGCTACAAAATTACTGTAACAACTAGGCCAATTGATTTCGTCAACTGAACCAAAGTCTAAATTACCATTTTCTCTACATCCGTTAGAAATAATATCACGAGCATCTTCTTCATAATGGGCAAAAGGAAGCGTAGTGCCAACAAGGCTGGTCCCAATGGCAGCCAGCCTACGCAGAAGCGCGCAAAAACGGAACAGTCTCTGTTAAATGGTATCGAAGCTCTCAACCTTGACTTAGAAAAAACCCCCTTTACAGAAACCCTAAATAGCGAAGCTCGAAAACGGGAAGCTAAGGTATACGAATTGCTTGGAAGTGCCGATAGCGACGAACGAATTGCTGCTGCCGATGCGATCGTGACCGGGCTTCTGGTCTCCTCGGAAGCCGCACTTGAAAGGCATCTCGATAATCGCCTATTCCGTGGACTTGCGAGCTCACGTAATGCATCCCGAGTAGGCTTCAGCCTTGTATTAGCAGAAATCCTGAACCAGCTGTTCGGTCCGAACAACCTCGCCGAGTCAAAATATACTGGCTTAACATTCGACAAGGTGCTGAATATCCTGGTGGAAAAAACAACTTCTAGTGGAAATATCCCTGGGCAGGAGGAGAGAGACTGTTACTTCGGTCGACTTTTGGTCTACAATGTTTTGTAGAGTCCAAGACCCTTTTCGATGAAGAATCGCGATGGTTAAAAGTCTTGGACTTGCTGCTGGATATGGCTGAGAAGAAAGTCTGGATGAGATCGCACTGTGGATGGGTTATCGTGGAATCGCTATCACAGATGGGACAGGGAAGAGCAGAGGCAACGCTCCAGAAATTGTCTGATATTGGGCTCGGCAAGACCGCTGAGGGCATTGCTATCTGGATGAAGGCACAAAGTTGCTATCCCAACCTGAAAACACCGGCAAACCCCTGGCACGATCCTATGAATCCGAGTGTACTGTCCGAAGTGGCTCGGGTATTGAAGGATAATGTGGCACAAGACAACGGAGAGGACGCGGCGATCACCAAAACTAAGCAAGGCGGCTGGAGCGCCCAATTGCATTTTGTCTGGGATCTTTTACTCGAGACATTCCTCAATCAAGAGACAGGTGGAAAGCAGAGCAAAGACCAGCTGAAACTATTCTGGACTACCGTCATTGATGGTAAGTACTTTCTACCCGTGACGTATTAACTATTCTAATTAAAATTCTAGATAGTCTTTTTTCCAAGAATGCTTCTGACGCACAAAAGTTTCGGGGTTTCGTCATATTCCAAAAATTCCTCCTTGGATTTGCGACAGGAAAAGTCAAGTTTGCTAAGGAACTATTTACTCGGAATTTAATGAAGTGTCTGATGAACCAAGCTGCCAAGGAGGATCGATATCTCCATCGGGCTGCGCTGAAAAGTCTACAATCGATCGAGAAAGCCGTGCAGGTCTCGCCAGAACTCCTGCTGCTAGTCCTAAACGAGCTAATTGGAAAAGCTGGGGCTTACGATTTTGATCAACGAACGAGTACTAAGACTATCGAGAACCTGCTGCAGTGGGCTACTCCGGATAATGCGAAGAATGTTCTTAAGCTTCTTCGAGATCCCGTCGTCGCGAACGAGTAAGTTGTTATATCATTCTATAAATAGGTCAGTTGATTAACCTACTAGTAGTGGTGCAGCTAGCGACGTCGAAAAGCTTAGACATGTGTATGCCGGCTATGTGTCTAAATTGGCCACCCAGGCAAAGCCTGCATCCGAAGCCTCGACCGATAACGAGAGTACGAATGTCGCCGAGCTTGGAGTAAAAGAACTAGCAGCATGTGCGTATTCTGTACAAAAACAATTTAAACCAGAATTATCGGAGAAATCAAGAGAAATATTCCGCAGATTACTCGCTTCTACGATTGGAAAGGTCATGAGGCGTCGAGATGATGCCGAATATCTCTGTAATGCGGTTATCTCTGTCGAGCCCTCGGCAGTGGATATGGGTGATGAGATAAAGGCTGAACGAGATAACGCACTAAAGGCCATACGAAAACTACTGAAAACAAGCAAGAAATCAGATAGCAAGAATGCCGGGGCTTCTGTTGGCCTCGCTCTGTTATATGCTATTACGATATTACAACTATATGATGGAGCACCAGATGCTATCAGCATTCTCCAGGATCTAGAGAGGTGTTCCGAGAAGATGAAGAGCAAGGAAGGTGGTAGCTCAGAACTTCTGGTGGAGATATTACTCGCGTTAGTCTCTCGACAGTCACCAATGATGCGGCAGATTAGCGAGCAGGTGTTTGAGGCATTCACTTCGCAGATTTCTTCCGAAGCTCTCGAGCTTTTGACGGAGCCACTTCTCGCGGAGGAAAACCAGAAAGGATACCAAGCCCTATTTGAAAACCTCGAGGACGAGGATGTAGAAATGGACGATGGTGAAGAGTCCAGGTCTGAAGATGAAGCTGAGGACATGGAGGAGGACGAAATCTCGGAACTTGGCTCCGATGTTGAATTTGTTACTTTAAATGGCGCTGAGGCGACGGCCGACGACGAAGATGACGACGAAGGTGAAGGGGATGAGGAAGATGATCAGCAAGGAGAAGCAGATGCTAAAGAACTTGCAGACCTTGACGACGCTCTCGCAAAGGTCCTAGGAAGCCATCGATTAGACAAAGATAAAGAGGCCGAATCGTCAGATAATGATTCGGACATGACTGATTCCGAGATGATGGCGCTAGACGACAAGCTCGTCGAGGTGTTCAAGCAGAGGGCAAAGAATACAGGAAAGAAAAAGGAGAAGAGGACGCCAAGGAGTCGGTTATAATGTTCAAGCACCGCATCCTCGACTTCATTGCCCTCTACCTCAAGCACGAGGCTGCTAACCCATTGGCCTTCAGCCTCCTCCTACCACTCCTAGAAGTCGTACACAGCACCACCGCCAAGCCTCTCGCTAACAAGGCAGTCGCGGCTATTGAAAACTTCTCCAAAGCCTTCAAGAAGGCACGGGCCGCCGGCGACAAGCACGAGCTTGACGCTACAGCGCAACTGGCGCTGATGCGTGAGATCCACCAACAGGCAGCCAAGGATGTAGCTCACGCCTACGGCCGTGCGGCATCGATGGCTAGCTTACTCGTCGCATCGAGCCTTGTCGCCGCTGCCCCCGCCGGCGATCATGTCGACGCTATCAATGCGCTTTACGCGCAGACGTTTACCGAGTGCCAAAAGGGCACGCTCAAGCTACCGGGGTTCTTATTCACCGACTGGGTTAATTGGGGAATGGGACACGCGGCAAATGCCCAACAGCAATCACAACAGCAGCAAGAAGGGGAGTCGTAAGAATGTTTACGTCCGGATTAGGTACTCGTTAACCAGGCAACTAGATTTGCATTAGCTAAATGGGTGGATATCCGGGTATATAGAGTCAGTCGAAGATACCGAATATAGTAATATTTGTAGAACCTCCTTTCCGCATGCAGCGTAATCTGGGTGGTGATTTCGGGTATTGCTGAGAAATGAGTTGCGGGACTAGTAAAGGGGGCGGGGCATTGATTGTGGAGGGATTACAAAAGGTGGATAGCGAAATGAATATGAAGACACATATGTTACCATACCGGCAAAATGTGGTTTTGAGATATGATATTTGGGGGGTGGAATGATTTTTGTATGGGATATCCTTTTTTGTACGGGAATTAGAATCTTGATTGGATAAATATTATTACAATATTAAAAAAATGAAAGTGTGGGTAATAAGGTTCAAAAACGGGTAAACTTTCAACAGCACTAGAGGACTGGCCACCCGCTAAAGCTGCTAGCTCAATCAAAACCTCCCGCATTAGTGGGACGTGCTGTGGTGGGGCTAGGAGCCTGGGGTTCGAGTCCCAGGCATCCTAGCTTTTTTAATTTTTAAGGTTTTTGGGGGTCACATGACCTTAATCCCACTTATTCCAGCCAATCAGAGCCTTTAGTTCTAAGGAATCATTCCTTTCCTAGGAATGATTTTTTACAAAAGAATTATAATTTTATAAAATATGGTATTACCCATTTTAACCATTATTATGGGTAATATGATAATCTACGCATGGAATCCTTCCTGAAACCCATACACTGCCGCTACGGTAGGTAAGGTAGAAAGCCTATTAACTGCCTAATCTATACAAAAAAAATATTTCTATTATCGCCGTTGAGCTACCTGAGTTTCTCACACTGGTCTATTTCCCTATGTAACATCGGTTTTGTCGTCTCGGCTTTTTCCCTATCAGATCCCGTGGGGGGACCATCTTCAACACCCAAATCCTATCGAATAGAGGACTAATGACTATTTTAGAAGTTCGCGTAGTCGCATTGTTTTTCTAGTCATAATATTTATCCCCTTCTGTTCGACTGTAAATGGGCTTGAATCATGGCTGTAGTTACTTAGTACTCTGTAAATTCAATCCTTTCCCTCCTATGTTGCGAAGTCTTGAAAGAGATCGTAGTTGCTTTAAGATATTTTTTTGGGCTGGGGTGCGCGTCTTCTTCGCTTGCTCATCACGCCACTCGTTGCAATTATCGTGATTGCATTGCTCAGGGCCTGAGAAGAAACCACCTGTTCTTTCTCGTAAGAAGGTCTTTACTTCAATCCTTTTCGTATTTAGACGCTCTCTCGAGGAGATCCAAGTATATTAGAAGGCTGCCCGGGTCATTGATGTTATTTAATACGCTCGCGATGTTTTAATATCTTAGGCACCTAATTCTTAGTTAGCCCATTTTGTCATAGCAATATAGGTGTATGTTGACTATAGGAACATACATCGGCAGCGATCTCGCCCTCTGCCGCGCGCTTCTTTAGGCGAACCTTCCGCGCTTGGTAGTATAGGTATCGTGTGGGACTCACGGCCAATTTCAATAGCACAGCACACACACTGGAGACAACATCATCCGACGATTTCCAGTTGCAATCTTGTATGGTATTTTGTGTCCTCAAGAGTACCATATGTACTATGCTGACAGTCCTTGATGCCCGAGTTCTGCCTCTTCTGTCGGTTACACTGCCGCATGTAATGGCTTCTGGGCCTTGTTTGAGAATGAAGAAATACGCTGGCAAAAGTGGTCACCATATTCATTGTTGAACTTGCTATTAGCGCATTTGTTGTCGTCGCTATTAGTAGAGTTATTTGATATTGGACCTAATGCATATGCACATTAAGTCATGTGCTAGGACATTTGTATATTGTGGGTTTGTTGGACCTGTTGTCCACCCTGTTGAAGGAAGATAATGATGTTTCTTCGATGCCATGATGTTGCGTAAGAGTAAGATGTTGTGGTAGGTATTTTAGCGAGCGAGTACTGCGATGCTTCTTCCACATCACCATGATAAAAAAAAACGAATGATGTTTTTAATGAAGAACACCACTTTGGTACTTCTGAGCCGGGTTTGTAAATATAGAATTGCTAGGAAAGTGTCGTTGGGTACGGTTTGGCTACAATGTAGAGATGAGGCTTTAGTAATAAGTAAGGTGGTGTGTTTAGATGTTTAATAGCTGTTAAACTTGCTCTGAGTGATAAAGAGAGAAAATAAAATGTAATTCTGCGTTTGTTTCTAGGAAGTGGAAGTAATAGAAGCCTAAAAACTTTTGTTGCTGTGGTGGTAGTTGCGATTCCTTAGGAACTGCCGGCTGTCTGTTGCGACTGCCCGCAACTGCCCACAACTCTGACCGCCCAATCTATGTATATATACATATAAAGGAAGGTACGCTTGGTATCTTTATTAGGTAGGTAGGTTAGGTAGATACCTGCCTAATAGAACTTTATTCATCCGGTTGGTTTAAGGGGTAAATCTTTACAATAATAGACATTTTCCTTATTCCTTAGAGCATATCGATGGATTCTATATCTATAAAACATTCGAATACTAGAGGGCGACGTCTGCTACATGAAACCATGAAGCCTTATTTATCACGATTACTTATTAAACATAGCATAAAGATGGGAGAGGAGCTTTATTAGGGGGGTTAAAACCCTTTTCAACCCCCTTTTTCACTCCCCCTTTTTTTTTATTTTTTTTTATCTATCTAATTTAGGTACGTAAGGTATATAACCTTATGAAAAAAAAATTTATATCAAGATACAACATTTGGCCAGCCTACTATTGTCTTAATATACTCGACTTAAATGTGGGTAGCTTAATATTAACCACATATCACCGTATGGTTGTAGATGCAATATGTACATCTATCTATCGACGGGTTGGTAACCTTTTCGGTGCATTTGCATTCTCGACAATCACAATTATATATCTTCTCGCTGGAGCTGGTAGACTGAGAGCCGTTGTCGGCAGTATTGTTTGTTGGAGACATGCTTTCTGGGACGAAAAATTTGGGGAGAAAATAGAGAGTTTAAATAGATAACTGCGATGATGTAGCAAGTAAATATGCTGTAAGTAGCTGTTAGGCTGTATGATGTTATGTAAGTGCCTAAGAATGAAGAGAATGCTGTGATATATTTATATCACATAACCTTCGGCTCTACATTGAAGTTGTGACAGTTAGTTAGAAGATCATTGGTAGATTGTTTGAAGATACAGGCTATATACGTTAACAATACTATTAGAAATATGATAACTTCATGGTAACCTTGTCGTGCTACAGAGTTTTCCTGTAAATTTTCATTGTGTATGTGATATTCTAATTACAAAAGTGAATGTACGGATTAGATGGGATAAAGATCTTGTAGTAGTATATATAGGCAACTAGAGTTATCAAAGAATACATAATCATAATAGTGGTGTTTAAACTAATAAGTCGTTAATATTAATAAAGTAACTATATGAAAAGTCAATAAACGTTGTGGTATCTTAGGTACCTAAGATTACTATGTATGTGGTAATGGTGGAATCTACAGAGCTTAGAAACGACAATGATGGGTATATAGCGAACGCACCACTTCACCAAAAGGTAATTTTGTCATAGTATATATGATATTACAGTATATTTGACAGTATATTGATGCTGCATATTTTACTCTATCGAAGCATTAATAACTCGAGTTTAAACATATAACTCAATCATATTACGACACGCACTATAACTTGCAGAGAAACATGGCAAATACACCTATCCAATGTAAACGCATAAGATTATCCATAGCTGGAGAATTTTAGAGCTGGGAAGTAAGGAATAACGAGTCGTGGATAGGTTAAACTGAAACAACATGATACTAACATGTTTTTGTTATCCTAAAAACGCCATTGGGCGAACTGGGAGTGCGCCTCTTCCCCGTTTTGCTTTTCTATGTATGTTGCTTCTGCAAGGGCTGGCGTATTGTAGGACATGTAGAACGCCACTCAACCCAAACTGCCATCCTCTAACTCGGAGAGTTTTCGTCATGCAGAAGTGCATACACCGCTATCAAGATCTACAGTTATCGACTTCAGCCCGAGACACACGTTGATATCTACCTAATGTATCTATCCGATGAAGGGAAGACCTTGGTTTCTTTCTACTCCGGTCTCCTGCAAGCACGGTATAATTATCGAATTAGTCCCCGAGATAAACCTATGCTAGTCCGATACAAGTCTCCAACAGCTCTCTAACCTCATCATATATAAATCCGAATACCTATTTGAAATGAATGTAGGGGATCTAATTCCCCAGCTGGCGGGTCTCACCTACAACCCGCCAAGCTCTCTGCCGATCGGCCTAGGGGGCCAGAACTTCACGCACTGTTGCCTCCGGGCGCTGAACGACTCGTTGGTAGTTCGCTCTGATGGGAACTTATCCTACTCACCAACATCGTTCGTGGCACCCGGAGTTTCAATCGAGGATCTTGAGACTGCAATTCAAAACGACGAGTTTCCTTGCGGCGCGACCTTTAATGGCGACCTGAGTGGCGCCCCGGTCGTCCGTATCCCGTACTACTGGTGCACGGAGCAGTGTTCGGGATGGGAAATATCGCACTCAAATGCCATGCAGCAGTGGATAGGTCCACTAGTGCAGTTTATCGTACCAAGTTTGGCATTCTGCACCAACGTCCCGCGTACTCATAGACTGGCGATCCCGGATTTTGTCTTTCGCGCCCACCCGCGTACGCTCATAGGGTTCATGACGTACTGGATTCGGCTGCTAGGCGCGGTTGTGCTCATGACTCTTGACACGGTGGTCTGGCTTGGGATCTGCTTTGCCTTCGCGGGTCCGATGCTGCTGAGCGCCGTGTACGAGTACGCGCTTGATCGAAAGATACTGGAATTTATGGACCCACCTCATGGCAAACCTCCGCCTATGCCCATGCGGGTTGAGGGCTCAGTTACTGCTGTCTATAGTCGTTGGGAATATTCGAATGGCTACCCTCGAGAGAGATGAACTGGAAGTGGATAATTGTCACAACAGTACCACTTCCAGTGATTTGAAAGCAATTCCGCCACTTACGAAGCGCAGAACGAGTAAACTGGTGCACAATAGTGTCTGGAAAAGGGTGATGGTGATGGTTGACGAATACGAGGCGTTGAAGTTTGACAGTCGATATCGGGGGGAGATTGTGTCCTTGCCGACTAAACTCAAGGCGCTTCTAAATTCACAAGCAAGGTGATGTCTGCCTGACTTCAGTTCTATGGAGAGAACTGACTCTGAATGTAGCTTCGGATCAACGGTAGGGGCACCAGTATTATTCTTCCTGGGCGGTTTCGTGTATACTGTCCTCGATGCTGATAATAACTTGGGCGATAATGATACCGCCCACGCCCTCGCGTTTGGCTTGTGTAAGTAGTTGTTCTGAACTGTTATCGTTTAATCGCTTGCTGTATACTAATGGCCTATCAACCATCTAGGGTGGATGGTGATTCCTTACCTCGCTATAATCGTATGTGTACACATTCCTAAATCGTTAAATATTCCTGAGTTTGCTTTTGTGAAGATACTCGTGTGGAGTAGACGCTCCGTTTGTCACTACTAATTATATATGCTACAGTCCTGTGCGATGCTGGCATCAAATAGTCCTAGTACGCTCGACGGTATTGTGTACGACGGTGGCATTATAGCCCCGACGGACGATTATGAGTTGAGCTTCTGGACACAGTACCTGAAGAAGCTTAAGTCGTATAAAGGTATCAATTTTGTTATGGAACGGATTGAAGGTTACAATCCAATTGAAACAGCTTTCGCAGGTAGATTTCGCACAGTTAAGCTATGGAAGCGGGGTCTCAATAAGCGCGAATGGGTTCAGGAGGCGATCAACGAGTACGCACTATCTTCTGAATATCGGAGTAGCGATAGAATATCTCCTGAAGGGTTGCGCAAGGCTCTTATGACGAACTACCAAGATTGCTTATATGTTCTGGTCGGGGCTTTGTTCGCAGTGTTGGCGCCTTGCTGTCTCGCGTTCCTGACGTCTTATAATACACCCCAAGCCGGATTGTCCTGCCGCAGTCTGACATATCTTGTCTATGCCATTAGCCAAGTATGTGAGATGGCCTTATGGACGTGTGCCGCACGACTGAGAATACAGTATGGAACCCAGTGGTCGGAGACCAACCCTATCGCGAAGAGGATATGCTGGTGGGGACAAGTGTTCGTAGGATTCTTTGCCATCTTTGCGGCGGTAGGTGGTACTACTATGCAGTTGGTAGGTGTCTATCGAAGCTGTGCTTGCAAGGTGAGGTCATGATTATCCTCGTAAAATTGGGATAAATGGACGTTCCCCCTTCACTGATTGTTCGACTAACACCGAGGACAGGTACCAGTGAGATATTGGCCCAGGCTGAGCGACCCAGACGCGTACATCGTGCTCAGCGATAACACTGCCGAAGACATAGAAGCAGCGCGGCGTTGGTGGATAGTGACCGGTAGTACGGCCGTAGTTGTGGTCGGCATCGTATGTGCGCTTGCATGGTGGCACCAACGACGGCTACGAAAGAGGTTTCGTGACGAAGCGGACAAATTAGATATCGACGACGTGGGAAGTTAGCAAGCAACGCGACGTTCAGGGAGGTAAGTTATGAGGTCGATTTAACGATTGACGACGTATTTAAGTTGCCTATAATTCTATGACTAAACGTTCCCTTTACTTGAAGATTGAATACATCGTAAACTAAGTATCTATTATAAAATCTTCATCGGAATCATAAATTCTTCGCGATAGTGCTTGGAATCGTGTGTAGGCGTCATGGTAACCGGCTACAAGAGTAACTATGATCATATGTACCAAATAATAAGCCCACCACCAAGCGATATAATATAAATCATCGATATAAATATGTGTGTGGTCCACTATAATAAACGATATAATTTTTCGTAACTCTGCGATGTTTACTTAGACTCCGTAGTAAGTATAGTTAAAATTTAGAACAGGGTATAAAACTTTTGTGAGCCACCAACGCCAATTCCGAAAATGCTGAGCGGATCATGCTAGAGTGAAATCCCAAGGCTTAAATGCTTCTTTGAACTTCTCGACGTCCTGGGTCTCCTCTGCGATAGACTGAACGACATCTTGCCAATAAAGTCGGTCTTCAAGGCCAAGGAGCTTCGCTACAACTCGGCGACCGAATTGGAGGTCAAAGCGCAGATTGCTATCAAAGCGCATCACCAATTCCTTGCTTTGGATGCCGGTGTCGCTATCGTCGGACCAAATCCAGAGGCGAAAGAAGTCGGAAGTCTCGTCAATGCCAGACTCTAGAGTTGTCTCTTCGAAAGGTGGAAATTGGCGATTTTCGGCCTCCACCTTAAATCCGGCTTCGACGAGGCCCTTTCGAATCAGTTCCGAAGGGATCGGTATGAATTGCCAATGGACATGAATACCGGATTGCCGACTAATTTCAAACGTCACTGCGCCTAATTTGAACTTTGATTGCGTTGCCACCATGGCTTGCATAGATTCTTTGAAACGCACCATTTCCTGGTAAGTCTTATGGGCATCTTCGCCCATTGAACGGATAGTGGGCTCATGAGGAAGGGGTATGATAAGCTGGTGGCCTGGGAAAGAGAGTCCAGACGAGGCAAATGTATCGGAACTGGGCAATGGGCCTTTGGCTGTAGTAACATAAGAGTCATCTCCTATAGCACAGACCATATGCGTGTCTACGTCGGTGTTGCTAAGACAAAAGAAACACCGATCGGGACCAGGAGGAGGTGACCGATCTTTTCGACGGCGGACACGACGACCGCCGTGGTGATCGTGGCCATTAGCCCTGTCATCGGTAGGAATTTGTCGTTTTCTCGTATTGGTCCTAACAATAAATGGGGAGATAGTACTGCCAGGAGGAATCGCAGAAGGTACCTCTCCGGGGACGAGATTGAAGGCGTACATGGCCTTAGCTTTAGCTGCATTGCCAAATGGGGCGAGCGAGATGAATCGCGTGATAGGCTTTTGGTCGGAGTCAGGGCTACTCGGTGGGTGGAAGAAAGGCTCACGCTCGTAAAAGAAGTCGGTAGGCGACATTGAGAAATGATAACGTGGTTTAAGAGTAGCACATAAATCGGCGATTTCATCGGTGCTTGCGATGGAGGATTGCTCTTCAGGCGTCAAAGCCTTGCTCGAGTTTGTCCATACCTTGGATGGCCAGCAGGTTGTAAGCAGTATATCAGTTGCGTTCGCACCACGTAACACTTTGGCGTCGTCGGCAGTATGTAGAGGAAGATGTTGTTCCTTGGACTGGCCGCCGATAATGGTATTGTCGAGAATACCACCCAATGCTACGATTCGAATTCCGTCTGACGTTTTAGTAATACTTCTCTTGCCGAGGAAATGAAGATTCTCGCAGACCTAAATATATGAATTTAGTTAGTTCTACTAGAATCATGGAGCTGTGCGATTTGGAAAGAGGGATGAGGCATTGCGAAACGTACATCTTCGCCTTTCTCGACGCGCTCAACAACTTGGCTTGGTAAAGGAGTCGTCCCTATGGTAAAATAGGTTGAGAGAGGGACTTGAATCTCGCCGTTAAGAAGTCGCGAGATAGTATCGTCATCTTGGTCGGCGCTGAAAAGGTTGCCCGTAATGATAGCGAAGGAGAAGTTTTGTTTTTGGTGTAAAGTCGCGAGCTTCTGGAAGACTGACTCAAACTTGCAATTGATGCTGCCTAGGACAATGCTTATGTATGTTAGACATTAACTTATTCACACACTGGAATAGTCTACTTACATTTTAGCTGCCATGATGGCATATAAGTTGAGATAGGCAAGCTTGGTTGGAAGCTATCTGAATCGCGACCTCTAATTGGCTTGCTTGATGCGATGAAGACGAGATCAAGTTAACTATGAGTTAGTTGCATAAATTGTAGTAGGCAGAGGTTACGTCGAAGCTACGATAAGATATATCGATAAGGATATCAAATATCTTATCTGAAGTCCTTATCGTGTTATCGTAGCGTCTCGCAAAAAAAAAAAAGTTACAAAGTTGCTGCGTTCTCTTTCGCGATGCGATTTGCAGTGGGGCAAAGAAATAGGTTCTACCTAAACATTCAAAACTAACTGCAGGAGCGGCAAGCACCTTTTCCCTTTTATACCCAACGGGGAATTGGCTGCTAAGATGCGCTCAACGCAATCGGGACGTATAGTAAAGTCCTCCCGAAAGGGGGGAGGGACTCCTCACCAAAAGAATCATCGATGGGAGTCTTTCACTACAAAGATCTCCAAGCTACATTCTCTCGATCCTCTCCGAAGAGTACGACGACATGATCTTGAAACCGAAGACCTCGAAGCAACTACTTCATACTTTCGAAATGGCATGGAGAAATGGGCCGATATCAACATATCCAAGGCTTTTACTTTTTCCGGCGAGAGGTGCGGCCCTTCTGCGACAGTCTGCCCCAGATTTTACATTTCGAGGATAAGATCATGGAGTTGTTGGTAAAATACATATCAATGCATGATCCTGAATCCCTAGAACCTCTCCTCGATTTACTTACGGCCTTAGCGCATGATCTGGGCACTCGTTTTGAGAAGCATTACCCGACTACTTTGTCCCTAATCACTGGGATCGCGAGTCGACACCAAGATGCTGCAGTTACAGAATGGACCTTTGGCTGCTTAGCTTTTCTTTTCAAGTATCTGTCAAAGCTCTTAGTACCAGATATCCGACCAACCTTCGACGCCTTGGCGCCACTACTGGGCAAAGCTCGAAATCCTCCCCATATTGCCCGATTCGCAGCCGAAGCGTTAAGCTTTCTTGTCAAGAAAGCTGCCGCGCCTGCGAACCGAGACAAAGCCTTGCCTCTGCTAATTGAACATGCTAGACTAGATCTCGAAGGTAGTAGGGATAGCCGACAATTTGGACTCTATCATCATGGACTTATGACTATGTTTGCTGAGGCTATTAAAGGCCAAGGATATGCTATCCATACGAGTGGACCCGAGATCATCAAATCGCTCATCGTATCTGTTCCCAATAACGAATGCATTTCTTCAGATCCGGTAACATGGACTGACCTTGTTTGCGGTGTACTTGTTAGTACTATTCATCATACAACTGCTGAAACATTTAAACCTATTCCGCAACTTGTAGCAGATATTGCAGTTGAAGACGAGGGCCGTATTAGCTACCCGTTGCGAAATTGTCTATATGTTAGGATTATGGGGACGATATGCGGTGTTCGAAGAGGTAGTCGCATTAGAGACTGGTCGACGGTTCTTAACTGCTTATTGGAGTCTCTCAAGACTCTCTCGAAAGCCCCAAATAGCTTTGAGGATATCGATTCATCTGCTATATGGCAGCAGCTCATGGTAAATATAGCTATCGTTTGGCAACAGGCTAAGATGGACTCTATCATTCCATATATTACTGATTTCGCGAACGTTATGACTCGGGAGCCTCTGATGAGATGGTTCATACCATTTTGTTCTTATTTCTCCGATCTCGATTCTACTAAATTTCGTAGCCTCCTACTGAAACAATTCCAAAAGTAAGTTGTCTTCAGCTCCTTACGACGTTCAGTTGCTAAACCCTGGGACAGATTTATTGTGACGCATTGGTCCGAGGGTTCTAACGAGGAAATGTTATGCATATTTCTACCACGGATGGTAGAATCTCGTGCCCTGCCTTCGATCACAGAACCTGAGAGTTTTCCTCTCCCACAATCCTGGCAGGATCAGATTGTTACCAAGTTTGAACGCCTGGAGATTTCCCGTTCCCCGAGCAAGGGAATTCGAGTGGATACGATAAAGACCCAAAACATGGCGGGACAAGTGCTTACCTAAATACTCGGGTCTTCTTCATGTCCTGGAGGCAACTACAGTTCGGCCTTCTACGAATGGTCCCATCGCAGAATTGTTGTTAAGGAAACTCAAGCTTGCGTTAAAGCCCTCTCAGTCTTTAGCGAGTGAGGAAGCTCATTTTATCGTTAGTCAGGGATTTTCTGCCTATCTGCGAATGAGCAAAGCCACCGGGCAGATTGATAGTTCTCTCGAACCCTTGCTCAAAGCAGCTACTCCCCGGTACCGGCGACTCACTGGATTCCTGGAAGCAATGATTACTTACGAGGACCAGCTTAATCATAAGGAGAGCCCCCAATCTCAAAGTGAGAGTAGTTCCAATAGCGAAAGTGATGAGGACCCTTTCATGAAAAGTCTCATTGAAAACCTATCTAGTCCATCGCATCAACATCGGTTAGCGTCTTTACAGTTGCTTAGCCGTCTCGACACGGCTTCAGACGAGTTGGACTGTTTGGCAACCATGATCCAAACAGAACAAACGCCCCTAGAATTTCAAAATACTCGTCTTATTTCTGTTCACATACGGAAGCTGGCAGCAACTTATCCCCAGCTCAGTAAGGGCTCATGGCTCCGACAGGCAATACCAAAATTTCTCTTTGGACAGATGACAGTGCGGTTAACTCCAATTTGGGATTCCGCGGTGGAGGCATTGCAGCAGATTGGGGAAGTGAAATCTGGCGAGGAAGTCATATGCGATATTGCGTTCGACTGGATAGAATCTCCATCTAAGCGATGGGAAGGTTCGCAGAAGGAAGCTATAGCTTCACCAAATACAGGCCTCACAGATTTTGAGTGCTGGAACCTGTCCAGTTTGCACAGAAAAGCCGAAGAGGCAGAACGTGTATTGAGATGCTATTCCGAAATCATGTCAGAACATTTCGAAGTTAGCCAGAGTTTAGTGTCCGCCATGCCTGCTAACGCAAGGTCTCAAGCACTCAAAGTCTTCTCAGCTACGCCTGGTATAGTAGAGAAAAGATCTCGAAAATTAGTGCCTTACTTACTGTCGTGGACAAGAGATATCGAGGAGCAAGATGACAACGAAATCGAATCGTCTGAACAGCTTTCTGGCGGATCCTGGTCCCTCTTTGACAAGAAAGCTCTTTTGGGTGTATTTGGTCAATTTTCAAACCCCAAGGTGTTGTACCAAAGCCAACAGGTTTACGACGTGCTTCTCGGTCTACTTGCCAATGGTGACGTAGAAGTCCAGAAGTCTTCTCTCAAAGCTATCTTGACTTGGAAGCAAGAGGGAGTTAAGCCTTACCAAGAAAATCTAGAATACCTTCTTGACGAAGCCAGGTTTAAAAACGAGCTGACTGTGTTGTTTCAAGGCGAACAGCAGATTCGACTAGAACACCGCTCCGAGCTCATGCCTGTACTACTCAGACTTCTCTATGGAAGGTCAATTTCAAAGAAGGGAACTGCAAGTGGACGCCACGGTCTTCATGCTACTAGACTGGCTGTTTTAAGACAGCTAAGTATTGAAGACATGGGGGAATTCCTTGATATTGCCCTTGGTAATCTTCGTGGGATTAGGGTTCTCGAGGATACTCAGCTACGCGAAAACATTTTTGATGACGAAGTATTGACTGTGAGAAAGCAGGTTGGATTTCTCAATATGATGGAGGCCATAATCAACGAGATGGGCACTGGTGTTGTCTCCTTTGCCGATAAGATCCTCAATGCAGTACTCTATTGCCTCATACTCTCCTCGCGAAAGTTAAACCAGAACAATGAGGACGCGGAAGAAGATCTACCCGCACAAAGTTCTCTTCTTCGAGTTGTCAGGAGCACATCCCTCAAGTGTCTGATTGCATTGATTCGGAATGCCCCTGGTTTTGACTGGACACCTTATAAAGATTTGCTTATTAAAGAGGTTGTAAGCCCGCGTCTGGAGAAGCTTCCAACGGAAACAACTCAAGGTGTATCCGGAACCCTTCAATTCCTTGCGACATTATCACAACTTCCGAAGACGGCTTTATTTCTCTCATTGACAAACGCATCATTGGCAAGTTAATGGAATGTCTTAAACTTGAGAAAACCAAGGATGAAGTCAAGATTTTTGCACTGAGTATTGTACGCAGTCTAGTCGGAATTTCTCAGCAACCGGCTATAGAATCCGAATTCAATGAGTTGATACAAGAAGAAATCCTAGACCCTAATGTTAACGTCATACTAGAAAGTATCGGTGTGGCTCTGACATCCAAAGGAGAAGTGAGCCGGGATTTACTCATGGCATGTGTTGAGTGTGTGGTAGAGTTATCTCCAGTTATTCAAAAGTCGGCTCATGTCACAGATCTCATCGACATTTCAGTCTCTCTTCTCAATCAACCCTCACGACGTGTTAATCCTAAAGCCAAGGGACTGGTCCTTGCAATGCTGGAAAATTTTATCAAGCTCGCAGGAGCGGATCTTCGCACAGAGTTGAAAGACCAGATCTATTCGACAATAGCATCTCTCTTTGGGTTCTTCAAGGACCGTGTCAACCGACAAGCGTTGTCAAATGTGTTGGCAGTATTATACCCAGACGACCCGTTATGTCTTGAATTATCTTCACTTTGTGCAGATCTGAATTCTTACGACAGCAGCCGCGTGGATGAACCAGATTATGAAAAACGACTGTCAGCTTTTAATGCTATTTTGCGTGCTAGAGATATACCCTACACGCCGCGAGACTGGGAGCCGTTAATACATAACATGACTTTTTACATCAAGCACGATGAGGAGTATGGGATTCTATCTGCGAATTCTGCTGATGGCCTATGCAAATTTATAGAGACCGTTGCGTGCTCGAAGGGTGAAGAGCAGGATAAATTCTATGATATGCTGTCAAATATCTTGATGCCATCTCTATACTCCAACGCGCGGGAATCATCAGAGACTGTGAGACGAGAGACTGTGAAGGTATTTGGAGTTTTGGTATCACGAATACCTTCTTGGCCTCCAATTGCTGACCTTGTGGCAATCAGCCCCGAGCCGGACGAGGGTGACCCGGACCCAAGTTTCTTTAACAATATCCTCAGTCCCGCAGCAGCACGTCAGATGCGAGCACTGCAGCTATTAACTAAGGCTAGCCTGCACACGTCTTTGAATAGCAAACACTTAACCCACTTCTTCATACCTCTCCTCGAACATTTTATCTTCGGTCGAGAGGAGGGGAGTGACGACCATGGTGTGGGAGCTCAGGCCGCAACAACAATTGCTGATATAGCCTCATCTCTAGAATGGCCACAGTATCGTGCCGTCCTCCGCAGATATATCAGCTACATTGAGTCGAAACCGGAACTCCAGAAACAGTTGATCAGACTTCTCGGTAAATTCGTGGACACCCTTGCAATGGTGGCGGCGGAAAGGAGTCAAGATGCGATGGAAGTTGATTCTATGGCTGCCTTAGAGATACCGAGGAAATGTAAATTGGCAACTACAATGCCGGCGCACGAGAAGTTGAACGAAGACATTTTGACCAATATCCTCCCACCTCTCTTGGAGTATATTCATGAGAAAGATGAAACTATGGTTAGTTCGCGTGTTCCTGTCGGCATCATCATTGTAAAGATCTTGAAGGTGTTACCAAGCGAGTCGCTTAACCAAAAGCTGCCCGGAGTCCTTACGGATATTTGCCATATCCTACGCAGCAAGGCTTGGGATTCAAGAGAGATGGCGCGGAGCACACTCGCGACCATGACCTCGCTTCTTGGGCCATCTTATTTTGGGTTCGTCCTCAACGAGCTTAGAGGTGCTCTCACGAAGGGATATCAACTACACGTCCTGTCGTATACAATGCATACTATCCTGGTTCATGTCACGCCCCAGTTCCGAGCGGGGGATCTTGATTATTGCCTCGATAAGATTGTTAGCGTCATAATGGACGACATATTTGGCGTCGTAGGGCAGGAGAAAGATGCAGAAGAATATGTTAGTGAAATGAAAGAGATTAAGAGCAGCAAGAGCCAGGATTCGATGGAACTTATTGCACGAACTGCTTCTATTAACCACCTAGTCGACCTTGTTCGACCTCTTCAGTCTCTATTACTTGAGAAACTCAACCTCCGCATGGTACGGAAAATTGACGACCTATTGTCGAGGATAACTTCTGGCTTGCTGAGCAATTCTGCCGCTGATAGCCGGGACACCTTGGTGTTCTGTTACGAGGTCATTCAGCAGGTGTATGAAAGCCACAAGCCGCGCTCAGAGTCAAGACTTGACCCGAAACTTAGGCGTTATCTTATCCAGAAAGGTGCCAACAAAAGTGGTGATCGCAGTACTACTAGCAAGTATACATACAAATTGGTTAGATTTGCCGTTGACGTTCTGCGGTCTGTACTAAAAAAGTACGATAATATTCGTAACGCGACCAATATCACGGGATTTATACCAATCTTGGGTGATGCTCTAGTTGGAGGCGAAGAAGAAGTTAAGATAGCGACCTTCAAGCTCCTAACCGTTCTTGTTAAAGTTCCGTTTAAGACCGACGATTCTACAAAGCTCTACAAAGTAGCTTCGAAAGAGGCTTCGAAATGCATCTCGGCATCTACTTCGACTGCAACAGATCTCGCGCAAAGCGCTCTTAAACTTATGTCGGTCATCATCAGAGATCGCCGTGATGTTGCTCTCAAAGACGCAGCCGTTGATATGCTCCTCGGGAAAGTCAAGGACGACCTAACAGAACCTCTATATCGTCATGTTACGTTCAATTTTCTGCGATCAGTTCTTGATAGGAAAGTTGAGACTGCTACTGTTTATGATATCTTAGACTACGTCGGAGGTATCATGATCACGAATGATGACAAAGACACACGAGACCTAGCTCGGGGCGCATTCTTCCAGTTCCTTCGTGACTACCCCCAGAAGAAGAACAGATGGGCTAAGCAGCTTAGCTTTATCGTGGCAAATCTGAAATATGAGAGGGAAGGTGGTCGTCTCTCCGTCATGGAGATTGTTCATCTTCTATTGATGAAATCTGCCGATGACTTCGTGCAGGAAATTGCGACAACCTGTTTCATCCCTCTAGTTTTCGTCTTGGTCAACGACGACAGCGAAAAGTGTCAACTGGCAGCCGGCGAATTGCTTAAAGAGGTCTTTCGAAAAGCAGATAAAGAGCGAACATCGAAATTTCTGTCGCTCATGCGGGCTTGGATAGAGCAGGATGACAACTCTTCGGTCTTACAATTAGCGGTCCAAGCGTTTACGCTATATTTCGAAGGCAGGGAACCTGCGTCTAGAGATCGTAAAGACTTAGATCTCCTGCTCGAGACGTCAGCTGATGTTTTGGGTGACTATTCAACTTTTGCCAACGATTCCGATTTGATTAATACAATTCTACGGACAATACCAATCCTTATAGAGAAGCACCCAGCAGTAACATTGGCACACGAGAGGCTGTGGCAGTCTATCTCAAATCCACTCGCACATCCGGATCCCACTGTTAAAGTCTCAAGCGTGCGGTTACTACGAATATACCTGACTGATTTCTACGACACATAATAAGAACGCTGTAAATAACCAGGCTACTCTTGGATCTTATGGTCTTCGATTACAACCGCATATGGTCGGACAACTGACCCTCTATGCCGTAGGCGTCCTTAGCCCAGCAACTCTAAAGAGATGGAAAAGGAGACTGCAAAAGAAAAACAGTTCTACACCTTTTAGTGATAACGACGGGAAAAGTCTTACTGAGAACCCCGTGGAACTGGACGAGGCTCTAGCTGCCGAAGTTAGCCGTGTCGTTCTGATGCTGAGCAAATTCTTAGATATTGGCTCGGTAGATTCTGAATCTTCCGACAACGATCCAGACAGCTCTGAAGACAGCGAAGATGAGTGGGGTGGTATTGATGACGGCGAAAAGGAGAAGGCTTATAACATCACTCTCCATACGTTATTTGTCTGGCTGTCTGAAATTCTCGTTGAAGAGACGCCGCCTAAAGCTGATGCTCTTATCCCTAAAGTCGCGGCACTGGATATAATATCCATCTTGACTTCGACGCTGCCTGAAACGTCCTTGCGACCCTCGCTCAACATCCTACTCACGCCACTACATCATCTTACCGATCCTTCGATCCCGACACCTTTCTCGCTTAACGAGGTCTTCAAGATGCGATATGAGGGGTTAAAGACGAAAGCAGAGGAAACTATGGAGGTTCTACAGAAGAAGTTCGGCACTGCCGAATACACGAAGGAACTTCTGGCCGTGCGCGACCGCGCTAGAAACCGTCGCGAGAGCAGGTCGAAAAAGAGGAAGATCGAGGCCGTGACGCAGCCTGAGCGCTTCGGTCAGTGGAAGAAAGGCCGTTTGGACAAGAAAGTCAAGCGCAAGAAGGAGAGAGGGTTGGAGAATCGGAATCGTCGAAGAGAATATTAGAGGAGCTGTTGGGTGGTGGATGTTTATTTGCTATGCTATGCTTAAAGCGTGGCTGGTGTTTGTAAGGTATGATTAGAATAGGAAAATGGGATAATTTAATTTAATTTCGCATATACAGTAATGTACTGTCAACATACCGCTACACCATTAAAAGGTTATCTGGTAATAAATTTTATTCTATTACATTTTATATATGTCGGACAGATATTTATATCTGCCATGTACAATACTAGCTATTGTTTTGTCATGGACGTCATTGGGCTTCTATAGGTCTTCAATATAAAGAAGGTAATAGGTAGCGTACCATTATTAATATCCTTGAGAATGGGTATAGCAGAGGGGATACAGTATAATACATGAGTAGAGTGTATAGGTATGCAGAAGGCCAAGGGAATGTGCTAGACATTTCATACTGTTAACCAGTTCCTCGGATATCTCGGGTGACGATCCTCTTCCTCAATAGCGCGACGAATACTAGGTCTTCCAGGTTTGCTGGCCGTTTTGAAGTGTTATCTTCCGGTCGTAATAGTGTTTAAGATTCGTGGATGCCCCCTCTCACCTTCGGGTGGCTACTCCTACTCCTACAGCCTGAAACAACATATAATATGAGATGACATGTTCGCGACCCAATATATAGGCTAAGTTCGCGGAGTAAGAAGTTATTTTCAACTCATTCGCATTAAATTTAAACTTCAATAAGTTAGGAATATGAGTTCCTGCCTTGAATTGGCCTCGACAATACCGCATGCAGTAAGCAGGCCTTTGGAGACTATTGCGCAAATTTGGTAGCATATCACTAATCATAGCCAGCGCTCCGCTTGTTGAACCGATTGCGCTCGAGTTATATGGGGATAGTAATGGGAATATCGCGCTTTGGTTATTGGCTAATTTCCACCCGAACTAGTATTGGCGCTACTTGTCTCGTGATTCTTATATATCTCGATATTATAGGACCTTCTATATGATCGTGACTTAGTTTGAAAGTTGTAGCTATTTGGCTGCGCTGCTATCGGCTATTGGCGTCGTGTCGATGGCACTTGATCGGTATGTTGAGTGCTGTCTATTGACGGGCGAGCGTCTGTGTTCCCCAACGACGCCGACGCTGTAGGTGTCGGGTCGGTAGATTGTGATGAGGGATCTCTCGTCTGTCGCGAGAGAGAAGCCTCGTCTGAATCGTCTTGCTTATTTTGCGCGGAATTCTCTCTGGTACTGTCCCTAGCGGCGGCAATATTTCGCTTTCGCCGTCGGTTACTTACGGTCCCATCTTCCCAGAATTCGACATCGCCGGTCTCGCCAAGAGTGCCTCTCTTCACTAGTTGTCCCTTCTCTTTCATAAGATCTTCGATGGTAATCTTACGATCGCCAAAGATATTCAAGTGGTCGCTGATGACGTGGCGATTGCGACAAGACGGGCAGGTGATGAGTACCGATCCATGATGGTAGCCCTGTTTCGATATTTCATGTGCGGAGCGTTCGCCGCAAGGTACGCAAGTAAATGTTAGTTCATAGTGAGGCTCGATACGCTTTGGCGGATAATGTTTCCTTAAGGTTGATGCCGAGGTCGAAGGTCTCGAGGTAGGCGGCCTAGGTATGGTATGAGCAAACCGGTAGGCAGTTGGTGAATTCAGTGATATATAAGGACGGAGATTGAGTACGGAGGGGGATAGGGTTCCTGGGGAGCGGAGAGTTGAATTAAATAATAAGCGAGATGTTAGTCTAGAAGCCATATTGTGGTTGGAATAAATATAAAATTTTAAATATGAACTTTGTCAACAGATGTATTAGACTGGACCAATTACGTATAGGTTTCGGCTGGCTACGTAATGAATGCTTCAAGGTTTTTAGTATTAGTTAGATAATCAGATAACTAAGGCATATGCAAGGGCCAATAAGTCTATCGATAAGATTACAGCCTTAGACGGTAGCTAAGATATTCCTGGCCGAAATCGAGGGGCAGTGCCCAGACCTGAGTTTAGGTAAAGTTACAACCCAAGCGATATCCTCCGTCTTGTGGCGCGTAGAAGGCACTAAAGCATTAAAGCACGAAACCATGTCGTGCTGAACATTTAACCCAATTCCTTCCATATATGTAGCAACCAGAAGGAGCAGCTTCTATACAAACTTCGAAATGCAAGCAGAGCTGTGAAACAACTTTTATAGTTGCCGTTATACACGGTAGCAATCACAACCTTAACAACCGTAACCGTGTGGCGACTTCTTAGACTTTCTACTTTCTTTTTTTCTATTTTCCATTTTCCATTTTCCACTTTCAATGCCGCTTGGGCATCTTTTATAATTTAGCATGAACTCTTTCAAGTTGTTTCCCTTAGCAGAGATGCATGACTAGTTCACTATTTCACTGCATTCCATTAATACTTCACACCTGCATCCATATACAGCCTTATTTCGTATAGCCTTGTCATAATTCACATGCGCAACACGAACACAACAAATTATAACCTGATAGAGACAAGACAAGACGAGATTATGAAAAATGATTAGTGGCCGAGGAGGTTCCATGATGCGAGGTGGCCGTATTCGGCCTCCTCGAAGGGTAAGTCGTATCTTCCGAACCCATATCCCCTTTAACCTGAATCTTCTTCTCGATACAATTCTGAGAGTATCGTTCAAGTCTCTAGCCCTCTGGACAAGTTCCTGTGGTTCCTGACGATCCACGAAACCACTCCGTCGGTTCGTGCTGTCTCTTGAGTATTGCGCAAAACCTCCTTGGTGTATCTTCCTATCTATACTTGATATCCCTAGTCTTCCTCTCTACCCGCCGCTTCTACATTGTGTCATACTATAGTAATATGCTAATCATTCCGTTATAGCCTACGAACCAGTCTAGTAACACCGACGAATTCGAACAGTGCTGGGAGAAGCTCCGCCAAGCTTTGCGCGATATACACCTTCGTAATGCCGGCAAGCTTTCCTTCGAACAACTCTACCGATATTCGTATAAGATTGTCCTTAAAAAGGCAGGTCATAAGCTTTATGATAGGGTCAAGGAATTCGAAGAACAATGGTTTGCAGATGAGGTGATACCTCCTATCCGGAGTCTCATTACCAGCAACCTAATTAGCGTTACGCTTGAAGAAGTCACCGGAACAAGCGTGGTGGAACGACGTGCTATGGGTGAGAAGTTCATAAAAGGGATCCGTACCTCATGGGAGAACCACAATTTCTCGATGAACATGATTGCCGACGTCCTTATGTACCTTGAGCGAGGGTATGTCCAAGATCATAGCAGACCCTCGATTTATACTACAACCATCGGACTGTTCCGCGATCATATCCTCAAGTCGGCCCTCAAACAGGACGGGGTTGACTATCCCATATTCAATATTCTTAATGCCACTATCATTGACCAGATCAATATGGAAAGGGAGGGCGATGTTATTGATAAAGCGTTGCTTCACAGCTGTATATCGATGTTTGAGGCTCTCTTCGAAACGGACGAAGAAAATGACAACCAGCAGCTTTATGTGACTACCTTCGAGCCCATATACATCGTCAGCAGTACAGCCTTCTACCAAGCCGAGTGCGAGAAGCTTCTTCGTGAGGGCGATGCTAGCGCGTGGCTTAGATATACACAAAGACGTCTTGCCGAAGAGGCCGAACGATGTCAGACCACGGTTTCTCCGTTATCTCTACAGAAGATTACGCAAGTAGTCGAACAGGAACTAATTGTTAAACACATGGACGAATTCCTTGGTATTGAAGGGAGCGGTATCAATGCAATGCTTGATAACGATAGGCTCGAGGATCTCAGCATTCTATATCAGCTCATATCGCGTGTCGATCCAAAAAAGGCCGTCTTACGCAAGGCTCTTTCTGTTCGGGTTATTGAACAGGGCACCGAAATAGAGCAGACACTCAAGAATACCGATTTCAGCATAGCGCAACAAGCAGATGCGGAGGAACCAGCAGATGGTGCAGAAAAGTCCAAACCGAAGACTTTGAATGCTGCAGCGCAGCAAACAGCAGCCGCTATCAAATGGGTTGATGATGTCTTGGTGCTCAAAGATAAGTATGATGGATACTGGAGAACATGTTTCGAAGAGGATCTCATCTTACAGACGGCATTAACGAAGAGCTTTGCCGACTTCATCAACGCATTTAATAGAAGTTCGGAATATGTCTCGCTTTTTATTGACGATAATCTCAAACGAGGTATTAAGGGCAAGACTGAGGCTGAAGTGGATATAGTCCTCGACAAGGCGATAACTCTGCTTCGATATCTTGGCGAGAAAGATAAATTCGAGCAGTATTACCAAAAACATCTAGCCCGTCGATTATTACATGCCAAATCCGAGAGTCAAGAGGTCGAGCAAGAGATGATTTCACGCATGAAGCGAGAGCTAGGTAATAATTTCACGCAGAAATTTGAGGGTATGTTCAGAGATATGCGTACCTCTAAAGAGGAGACAGAGAATTATCGCGATCATATCCGCGGCCTTGGCGATGCGGATGAGAAGCATATCGATTTTAACATCAGTGTTCTTGCCGGCAACAATTGGCCCAAGGAAATCATGGGTCGCACTGGCCTCGCAGATGGGTCTAAAGGCAAGATCATATATCCACGTGAGATCCAGGGACTTCAAGATAGTTTCTTCAAGTTCTACAGCCTGAACCGTAACGGTCGCGTTCTCACTTGGGTCGCAAGCGCAGGGAGTGCGGATATTAAATGCGTATTTCCGAAGATTCCTGGCAAGGCCTCTGGACCCCTCAGCAAAGAGCGTCGCTACGAACTCAACGTGTCAACATATGGTATGATCGTGCTCATGCTTTTTAACGACATCGCCGAAGACGAATGGCTACCATTCGAGCGTATTCAAGAAGAAACGAACATCCCACAGTCTGATTTGATTAATGTGTTGACATCACTCTCGGTGATTAAAGCATATCGCATTCTCCTAAAGGAGTCACAGACAAAAGCAGCAGCTAAACCTGGCGATAGATTTACATTCAATCGCGAGTTTACTAGCAAGGCAATCAAGATTAAGGTGCCTTCGATAAATGCTGCTAATAGGGTAGAAAATGACGAGGAACGCAAGGAGTACAGATCAGAAAAAACGAAGAGACAAGAATGTATGTTACTGATGCTGCCGTCGTCCGTATAATGAAGTAAGTCCAACGTGAATACCTAGAATCGGAAACATAGCTAACCTACCGACCAAGGCAACGTAAGGAGCTTGGCCATTCCCAGCTCATTACAGAAGTTATCCAGGTCCTAGCGAGTCGATTCAAGCCAGATATACCACTCATCAAGCGTCGAATCGAAGCATTAATAACCCGCGAATACCTTGATCGAGCGGAGTTAGCTGATGGCTCTCCGGCCTATCAATATGTAGCCTAGCTACTTACAGATCTCATTCTCCAGGGATCAGCGCCAGAGGATTAGTCAAGTACTTGGCCAGAAGACACTCGCGAAAATACGCGCAGTGACGTTGTATATGCTCTTTACGAGTTTGGCAGATTCGTGTTTCCTCGAATGGGCACCACGCCTCGACCACAATTATTCCGCAGCTTGGAGTTCGATAGGACGTCGGCGTTACGGATATTGTGGATATGAGAATAGTTCTCTGGATTTAGATCAGGGTAAGCGGCAAGCCCCTTTTCTACTTGGGAAAATAAGCCGTAGCCCCAGATGTCACATTATATTGCATAGCAGTTGCGATAGGGGCGATAGGGGCGATTCAAAACACACAGAATGACTGCATTTAGCTCATAAATATGACATTATGCTGTACATAAGATGGCGATAACCGCCATAGTAGAGATCGTGTACATAATGAACATGGGAGTTCGACTAGATTCCCACTTCTCCTCTATTAGAAGCTCAACGATCAAGTTCTTGCAATACATACATCCGGGTGTGTTGATTTGAAGCATAGAATCTAGTACCTATTTAGGGTACTGGGGCATCTCTCGACGTATCAAACCAGAGGCCGTGATAACTAGGCCAATAGCTCCCTCGCAAATCAATCTATTACTGGACCTAATCATTCAGCGTAGGACCTCCTTAGTCTAGCAAAACTCGGATAGCATCTGGACCTTCGTCACTCACGTTACACAGTCCTTTTGTCTGCGATTATTTACCTTTGTCCGCTCGCGCGAGATCACCGATATTCCTACTAACTAAAGCAAACAACAGCAATGTCTCTTCCAAAGATCTGAAAACAACCCTATTGTCAAGGATTTGATCTTTGTTTCCAACCATAAGCTATTGCTGATCCTTGACTTTTCTATGTACTATATTTAACAACCGTAGTTGTTCCTATAGTTGCTGAATAGCAACATCGCTACCTACTCCATTTAACCAGTCCCTTTTCCAATGTTTGCCCGCTCGTGAAAGCAACCTCCTCTCATGAGTATCATATTACGCCCGGGCTAACTTGGATCCATAGCATATTATTCATCATATTAAATTCCTTTGTATCTGTGTCCTTTACGTTGTGGGTAAACGAGTAGGACGCTACTAGCGACCTATGCCCTGGCGACACTAAGCATAGGTATTATTAGTAACATCTCATTTCCGCCAATATAGCTAATATGGCTACTACGAGCGTAGATCATAAACCTCATGAGAATGACGAGGTGGATGAGGAGCTACGAACTCTCTCATACCATCGAGCTCTTGCTTATGATGCTTTAACGCGAAACTCTCGCAAGAGGGCAGATTCGTATCAGAAGAAGAAAAGGAATGGCCCTAGGCAACCCCGGACTTATCCTCCTACCTCGCGTTCAGTCTCGCCCGCCTCTACTTTGAATAAGGCGAGTAGACAAGATAGAGTAGAAGCTAAAGAGAAACGCGAGAGCCCCCCTATCATATGGCAGCCGCGGAAGCCAGCCTATATGCTGCCCTCACGCAAGTCGGAAACAAACATCAGTAATAATACAAGTTTTCCTGGGTCTGAGTATCGACCGCATTCAACACCACCAAAGCAAAGGCAGAGGCCACAAACTAGGTATGGTCCTATCAACCAGAGCAGTAGCCAAAAAAAGCCGTCATTAGAAGAAGTCCACGGGACTTTCACGAGGCAAAGTGCTAAGAACGATGATGTCCGTAGCGAATTCAGTGGCAACGTATGCCCGCCCATCCCTCAAACTACAGACTCAGCTATACGAAGTAGTGTTCAGCCTTTACACATCACCGAACAGTTAGTTCAGTACTACCAGAATCCTCGCTATGATTCCAGCCCAGGACCGGTGCAAGGATCTTATATCAATTCAACTAGTACGCACGCTCCGGAATCTGTTAGTCGTCCCCCGTCTATAGCTTCAACAGTCAGTCGAGGCCGACGCATGTCGCGCGCCAGGCCTTCGTCTTCTACGTCTACTACATGTTCCTCCTATTGCCCTTCTACTACATCTACCAAAAGGCTTACCCGTCCGCCGAGCCCCTCGCGCGGGGCTTGGATATCAGACCATCCGCAACAGGAGCAGCCGTCGTTTAGAGAACGTGCGTCTCACCGATTTAGTAAAGGCCTACACCTAAACTTACGACGGGCGGGCGTTGAGCCGGAATCGAGCTTCATAGTGCATAGCGTGGTGAAGAAATCTACTAATTATGTGCCCGCCCCCAGGGTAACGCCCGCAGCCTCACCATCACCGCCCGCGACTCCCACTACCCCCACCATTCCTTGGGAGCCGCCGAACACGGCCGTGCCGTTTGCGATGGAATTGCACCATATAAATAATATGTTAGGAGTCTCCAAGAGCGAAGAGGAGTTAGATACAGAGGATAGAAATATTGAAGATACTGTTGAGAGCGATTATATGATTTATGCGTCACAATATATAGCAAAAGTAGAGGACAGGATGCGGAGAATTCGACAACAGCAGCGGTCCTTGGCAGATATGCGTAGGGCACCAGAAAGTAGCAAAAGTAGCGGTAGCGATAAATCGCTATTCTTACAAGACACGAGAGGAACTAGACCTACCTCCGACTCGTTCTTCGCGACAGAATGGTCGCGCCAACAAGCGGAGAACCTGACGGCCCCCTTATCTTTATTAAATCCTTTCCAGCTCAAGCCATTTGATGCGGAGTTATCTCAACCAGGTATTCTAAGCAAAGCCCCAGAGGCCTCACCCGACGACCGTATTGAGCTACCTAGCCAGTCTAGAAAGAGTTCCGACGACTCTCTAGTAATAGCCGAGGCTTTGACCAAGTCGCCCGAGCAGATGTCGCCAGTGGACACGATGACGACTGAACCTCACTTGCTCAAGCGGAAGCGGGGGATGACGGCGTTACGATGATTGAAATGAATTGTGGCTACCTATATAAGATCATAGAGTTTTAGGTTGTTTGGGATACCATGGTAGATAGGCGGCGACATGATTTGTATATAGAAAGCTCGCCGTAATGACTGTAACGCCGGCACGATAACTTATGCTTTTACGAACTTTTATTTAGTTGCAAATTGGAACATTCTGTTTATATAACTTTTGATGCTTGCTTTATTTTCGTGACTGTCACTCGTTTTTATTTCCTGCCTTGACACTTCTCGACCTAGTGAGGGCGCGTGGTTATGTGATACCCATAAATTTTATTTCTAAGATATGTGCTTGGGAATCTAAGGCTGTTATGCTGGTTGCTTAGATTTTAGGCTCTTTTCCGTATCCTTAAAAGCACAAGTTTACAGCGAAACGCAGCCATCTGCGCTATCCTCGAGGAAGATACCTCCGTAGATTTGGCCCTCCTCGATGCCGGTCTCCTGGTAGCCTGAGTTTACGACGTCGGAAGTACCTGTGGGCTTCTTCAGGATGCCGATCTGGTATTGGCCACCGCCGCTGTTATCGTTCTGCAAGCTTCGGTGACGGCCTTGAGGGGCTCGTCATCCTTTGAGTAGTACACCTGGAGGGTGCTGTTTGGAAATTCAAGTCAGTATATATCTCTTCTCTATGCACGAGGCACCAAACTTGATAAGTTTAATTGATCATAGAAAAAAATCAACTTACTTTCTTCACAAAGTCAAGAGTAATAGCAAAGTTTTGCCAAGCGGTGGCATCGATAGGGGTTGACCACACTTGGGTGTTCTGGCGGTTCAAGACCTTGAAGCTGTCCTTGTCGCTGCCGGACTTGCCAATGATGGTACCGCTCTGGAAGTTGAATTGGTTGGCACTGTAGTCTGCGCTCTCATGCCAGACATTCTAGAATTTCAATGTCTTAGTTAGCCAGATTGCTCCTATTCTCTCGTAGCCTTGTAACCATTTTCTTTATATGGGTACTGCTTTCTCCGGGGCTAGATTCGTACCAAGTACTCGTGAGTCAAGTTCAAAGTCCTCTCGGCATCTTGCTTGACGCTGAAGTGTAAAGTCTTCACACCCTGGGTACCGGGGCTATTTTCATTCGTATCTCCCTGGATCTGGAGACCGGCTCGGCGGAAACCATTCTGCTTCTGGAAGATAGACTTGTCGTTGATAGTGACCTCAACAGCCCTCGTGCTAGCGTTATCGAAGCGCGAGGCCTCAATTTCCGGGAACTGTAGGATCTCCGAGAATTTCTCGGTACCGCGGATGTAGTCGGGGTTGAAGGGGCTCGTCGCATATGAGTCGAAGTCCGTCGGCGTCATATCTGCCGGCACGAATCCACTAAGTACCACGGGGCATTTGATCTCACCCGTGCCGCGCTTGGCGGGGCGGGCGGATGCCGATGAGGCGAGTAGGAGGCCGGTGAAGAAGGTTGAGGATATCATCTTGTCGAGCTATGCGGAAAACGTTCTCGTGAACAATTGAAGGGCATCGTTGCGGCTTTATGTATACGAACTCGCAATTACCTCTACCCCATGTTAACAATATACAACCCGACGGGCCGGGAGATTAAATGCCAATACGCCAAGCGTTCGCGGTGGGTTTGTAGATCACCCTCAAAATGGAGAATGATGCTCCGTGCAATCTATAACAAACGGGGATAACCTGGGGGCAGAATGTGGAGGAGACATTGATGCCATTCGGAAAGATCTCTGGAACTTACCGAACATAACCCCTGGCTAAAACGATCCCCTGTAACGAATCCGGAATATAGATTATCTACCATCACGCCAGCAGTGATGCTCTGTGCGAAATAACTTGCGTGCCATTTCGAGCGCTCGGTTGTTTCAGCTTACGAGAGAGAATGCTTGGTATCGAACTTCAAATTATATAGTATTAATATAATAGATGGAATTGATGGATATTTATCAGAAATGCCCTGATCGTTAATACGACTGCAAGATATGTAGATACGACGCATGAAACTAAACTCCCCTAGTTATCAAAAAGTTAACGCACAGACCCTCCCCGACTCCCCTCTTATAGACAAACGGACAGACAAGCAGACTACCGTACTATGCGTTTCGAAGTCTTAAGTACACTAATAAAGCACCCCAGCAGTTCCGCAAGCGGCTCTTGCAAGTCTTCGTCGACTGTTCCTCGTCAGTTCGTGGTGCTATTGACAGATAACTCTGGTGGGCTTCGGGTATATCAGTATCGCACCGCAATAGGGGTTCCGAACTAGGGGATCGCGAGGTCTGAACCTTCTTTGCAGGTTTAGTAGAATACCAGCGGCCTTGAAACAGGGGCATACGAAGAATACCGTTGCTCTGTTCGGCTGCTCCCTCGTTCCCGTCGCTGACATCGAGCCCGAACGAGGAATCTCGCCGTATGTGGCGCCATAGAGATGGGAGTTGGGCTACAATATCAGAAACCGAATGCTTGTTTGCGTTCTGATGCTCTCCATCGCTCGGTGCTCGTTCCGTACGAGATTTTTAGGGCTAGATGATTTGCTACTAGAAGAACTGCTACTAGAAGAGCTCGAAGATCTAGATTTGGCCATTTCGTCTAGACCCCTAATACTTTGTCGATCTTATTTGTTATTAGCTAGTTTAAGTTAGGCTAATTTTCAGGGGAGTTGGTATGATAATTCGGGAGGTAGACTCTTTATAAATACTAAAGACAGCCTCCGAAAGATCCCAATTCCTAAGCAGTCATTGTCCTTACTCACTGTACTACTTAGAGGGCTTGATTATATGACTAGATTAGGATAATGGATAACTTTGCGTCGTGTACTACGTAAGTAGTGACACCGTTAGCTGTATTGGAGACTCATTTAACTGACTAGGTAGGGAACACAGGTAAGTGATTCAACTTATTTTATCGTATGTTATCAACAAAGAATTAGTTTAATATTAAGCCTTTGTACGAGGCTAGCGCTAGGATACATAATGAATTGATATATAAATAGACTCGCTATATTCACTTGGTAATAGGGAAGAGAATGGTCGAAAGCTGACATCAGGCGTTAGTATACAGTGACACCACCTTAGACATGGTAAAAGGACGGGGATTAAGGGTCGGTGTAATAGCGATGTATGTTATCATAGTGTATTAAGCGATCTGATTGATAGTGTAAAATGAAATATAAGCATATAGTGTGGATATTAAGGTAGTGAAGCATCCGAATGGTTGGTAATTTCATCATATATTCATAAGCCCAATACAATACACTCTACTACATACTCTAGTTTAGTGCAATCAACTGCATCTAAATACGACAAATAGTCGTACGAGCGAGTGTCAGTTTATATAAGCCCCAATAGGATTTAATGTAGCCTATTCTTTGGATGAAACCTCAATAGGGCGAGTTCTAGAGGTCTCCATGTACCTATTATATAGGCTTCGGATCTATTGGCCATGGACGAGTGTAATGGCCTTGTAGTCTATACTGAAAAGTCCAGCCAGGTCGTCCGACATTTCTCAAGTAAAGTGCACCGTAAGGATACCCTCTATGACGACAACTGGTCCGTACTTCTCGGAGATTGGGCCTTGTCTCTTTCGAGATCATGTGTTTGACTTGATTATCCACGCACCAGTTAAAGTCAGGGTGTGTGAATGCGCGTGGTTCGGTGATATGAATAGATTCTATCGAATCTGGTAGCCATTTGTCAAAGCTTATCTTAGGGTAATGATGGCCGATCAGTATGTATAAAGGAATATGGAGCGTCCTCAATTTTTTTAACTTTCGAAGAGGTCCAATTATATCTGTATATGGTGAATGTGAATATTCAGGTTCTTCGATAACGAGTGTCTCAAGGCACGGATCTTTACTATCTCTTAGAAAATTACCTACTGCCTCCATTGAGATGGAGAAGTGTTGGTTATCATAGTCGTCGGGCGTCGTAAGTCTAAGGCTACGGAGCTTGGGGCATCGGGAGAGTATATTTACTAAACATCGGCTACTCAGCCATCTCGCATCAACGTCTATGTCTCGTAGGCCTAAGACCGTGGGGACATCGTTTAGCATCGATTCACTCCAGAGCATTCCACCAATAGAAAACGAGGTGAGAGTGGGAAGCTTAAGCATCGCTGATACCAATAGTTGATCCTGGTCATTTTTCCGCGGAAATACGACATGACTACCTCCAAGTGGTCTGAATGGTGAGTTTATGTAGTGCATACATTCTCTCGGGAACATATAATTGCCTAGTGCTATATCTTGCAGTTCCGAGAAGTGGCCTGCTGATAAAAGTTGAACTGAAGAGTCTCCTGAAGCTCCTAGTAGTTCCTTGGGTCTAGGACTAATGTTCCGTATAACATACTGAAAGATGTCTACTACAATGGTCCTGAGAGGAAGGTTTAAAAACAAATATTTTAGATTTGGTAAAAATGCAAGTAAAAGTGCAACCTCCGACCCATGTCCGTCACCGCTGTTTAATATTCGTTGTCTCAGTACGGGTGGTAGGGCAAATTTGCTCTGGGGGCTTTCAATCGCATTTTTTACTATTCTCGAGACGGGAGTTGGGCCTGCGTAGTTATCAACATGAGGCTTGTCATATAGCGCGAAGTTATGAATAAGCTGGCCAAGGTTTGGTTGCCTTGAGAGTGTCCTGATAAGCGCGTGACGTCCGTAAATATCACCAACTATTACTTTATGATATAGGAGAGGCCTCGCAATGCGATGGAACCGTTTCGAGCAACGGACCAAGGCCCTCAAAGTTTTAAGGTATTCTATTTCCTCAACTTGGGGAAATGGTAGTTTAAAACACGTGAAAATCATCAATAAAATCTCGTCTGGCACATGCCGAGGCAGAGATCGAGACATGATAGAGCCATGGTTAGGTAGGTATAGTAGATTTGTATAGCAAGACGAGCGGTGGAGCAAAAGCGAGCCAACGCCGTTTGCTTGAGTTTTGGTGTATGATTGGTACTCTTTAAAGGTATATTGGGGGATTGGTTATAAATGAATTTGTTGTGACCTATAGTAGAGGTTTCAAGAATAGAAGAATTCGGATCCAAGCAGTATTAAATACCTGTAGGCATAAACATAGGCACCTACGTAGACCCCTAGACACCGGTTTCTTAGGTCAAGTGTGTAAATAAGGTGCCTAGTTCAATCTTACAAGTCTGTACTATATGTGTTGTTTTCAAGGCATCAACCTACCTTTAATGTACCTAAGACTCCGATAACGAACGGGACAATGAGTTGCTACACAACACCCCGTTAGTATGGTAGGTACTAGATACTACGCATCTGACCGCATGCCTTGCACTTTGAGGTAGCCTCCGTTGTAGTATATCAATAGAACAAAGCAGAATAAAATTAAAATTGTCATCTAAGAAGAACACAAGTCGCGTCCCGCCACCCTTTTTTATTTCCTTGGTAAACTTTCCATCTCGGCTTTCATATATCCTTACATTTCGCTACCCTGGCCTGAATTCATCTATGAAGTTCCTCCTAATATAGAAAAGCTTGCGATTAAATCACGAGGTGGAGAAAGAAGCAAGGAAACAACTCAGTTGTTCTGCGAGGAACTTGAAGCTAGCTACGGGAGCCTAGTGTCCTTGGTTCTAGACGTCCCGCCTAGAGACCTGGAATAAAGGTCACTATTCACAATCTCCATTTAAACCATCCCACTGTCTGAGGAAACCCTGAGATTCTTGGAGAAAGGGGAGTCAAGTATAGCCACGCCTTTTTCATATTCCTCTACGTTCGGACGTATCATATCATCATATTTTGCCGCCCTACCTATCCATCTATCTATGAAGTTCCTCCCAATCCACACAAACATGTGGTTAGGGGACCGTTACTATTGGCTAACCTTTAGGTCTTCTCCATTGGAGGGTATATATATTCACATCTATCATGCATAGCACTTCCTGACGGAGTGATTCGAGGCAATGATCAACATGATAGATTATTTCGTCCCAGTCTTGTTCTCCGTTATTGTAATAGTAACTAGGGTGAAGATATTGTTTGATTCGTTTCTACCTAAAGGTATTAGTAGGACTTCAGTTTTATAATATTCGTAGCGGATTCCATAGAGCGAAGAAAAACCAACTACCTCTAATATATTAATTGGCAAACTGCACTTATACTTGGCTGGATTGATTCGTATACAGCTCCAATGTGGTTGGTAATTGGAAATTGAACAGAAGTCATGTACGAAGCCCTTAAAGAAGTATTTCAAAGGGGAGGACATATGTGTAAGGTATTAGTACTAAGGATCTCAACTGCAATTACTGAAGCGAGATGGGTCCACAGAATTTGACGTGGATACTTGCATTCTTAAAGGGGTACGGAACTTTGTTGGGGGAATTAGGACAGACTACTAGATATTATTGATTCGGATATAACAAGTACCATCAGATATAAATAGGGAATTCCTCAGGCTAGCTATTACACACGCTCTAAGTACGAGTTACTACCATGTAGTAAAGTACTTCCTAATCACTCATATGTGGTGTAACATGTTTAATCAAAATTATCTAACGTATCTAGTCCGTACCAGAGCCAACAATGCCCCGTGACGCTTTTCTTTCTGTCGCATGATCATCCCTTGCTTACATTCTGAGGTTATCACGTACCTAGGTAGTTATATAAATCCCTCTGGTTCTTCTACCCTACACCAAAGATCTCGGTATACGGCTTAAAACTGCTATTCATTTAAATTGCTTAACTTTTACTTTATTCAAATTTCTACAAGACGATTTGTCGATAACTCGATATCATGAACTATGTCCTGCCCCAATCTGCCTTGATAGGTTTGATATTCCTGATATTGGGGACCTCCGTTGTTGCAAATGCCATTGTGAAACTTCATGATATCAACGTCACATATCACGGCTTAACGAGTGAACATATTGAGCACTTTTATAATATTAAATTCGGCCACGATACTTCTGGTGAGCGACGCTTCGCCCCTCCAGAGCTTTACGTGCCGCAAGCAGGAAGCGAGTTGGACGCCACGGTACCTGGCCTACCATGCCCTCAGTTAAAAGCCGGCATACCGCCATTTTTTGACGAGATTCAGGAAGTTAGTGAAGATTGCCTTAACCTCTGGATTTCAAGACCTGCAGGAACCACTGCTAAAGATAAGCTCCCGGTGGTCCTTTGGATTCCTGGAGGTGGAGTTATCAAGAGCTCGGCACACGATTCCCACGCCGATCCCAAAAACTTGATCACATTATCAACTTCACTTGCAAAACCTGTGATATTTGTGTCGCTGAATTTTCGTGTTACAATTTTCGGGTTTGCGCGCCTTTCCATCCTAAAAGAGCAGAAATCCCTGAACGTGGGAATGCGGGACCAGCGATTAGGATTTCAATGGGTAAAAGATAATATTGCATCATTCGGCGGCGACCCAGAGAGGATCACCGTGTTTGGAGTCAGCGCTGGAGGTACTTTTTCTTCGCTTCACACCATGGCGTTTGGTGGCGAGAAAGGTGTACCATTTACGCAAGCTTGGGCTATATCTGGCCCACCCGGCACGACTCTCAGCATCAACAGCGATATGACGGATATGCATACTCGTGGCGTAGCAGAGAAGTTAGAATGTAATAGCAATGAAGAGGAGGTGATCCTTAAGTGTTTACGTGAAGTACCGATGGGAAAGCTGGTAGAAGTGGCTATGGAATATTCAGTAAATAACCATCCGCCACTTGGGCTTTTCACCTTCATTCCGTCGGTCGATGCCGATTTTCTACCAGATCGTCCATCTGTGTTGTACAGATCAGGAAGATTCGTCAAAGGTACTTATCACCCCCTTTTTTTTCTATAGCAAATCTAATGTGTCTCAGGTATCCCAATGATCTTCGGTTGGACACAGAATGATGGTGCCACGAACATCCTGTCTCCTACGACAATTCAAAGAGAGGAAGATATGAAAGACGTAATCAAAAGTTTTCCTCATTCACTTACCGATGAAGACTATGAAGCACTTTTTTCTCACTACCCCTCATCAGCATTTGAGGAAGATTTACAGAACTATGAAGCTCGAAAAAGTAGCTCGGATCCGACTATGTCTGTCCACTACTTCCGTGTCTCTCGCATCCTGCGTGATATTTTATTCACATGCCCGTCAATTGACTTTGGATACGAAGTATCTAGACAGTCTAGTGCAATCGATCCTACCTTTCCTGGTGTTCGCCTCTATGCCTTGAATCAGTCTATGTTGACCCCGCTGTTGAAGGCTGCTGGAATGCCGTACGTGGGTGTAGCCCACGGTAGCGACACTAATTACATTTTCAATGGCTTGTTCCCCGAGGGCCAGATTTCTAAAGAAGATAAGAATCTATCAAGATCAGTAGCTGCTTCCTTAATCTATTTCGCCTACACAGGTAATCCCACCTATGCAGACAACGAAGGCTTCAGTTTATGGCCAGAATCGTTTGCACAGAGCGAAGATCGACATTTGGGATCGGATCTTTCCAGATTCAATTTGCAGCTCATTGGTGGGCCACTAGGAACAGGTTCTTGTTTCCTACGTAAGGAGAATTACACTACTAACTTGAGTTCAGAAAGGGGTAGTATGCAGGTTCCCTTCATGGCTGATGTAGAATTTGGAGAAATGGACTCCATACCCCTTGAGGAAAGGCAGCAAAAGCTGAAACGTCAAAACCTCTTCGAGCGATGTGCATATATCAGGACCCTCAATGAGAAACTAGGGGTGTGATACATGAGGAACACATAGAGTAACACCACGTTGATAATTACTCCGGTAGGATCTAAGACTTCTGTAATGTGGAGAGACATAGCACGGTATGTCATAGAATATATTGCGAATAGCTACCTATCATATTGCTTTAAACTCCTGAGACGTAATAATTATTGTTAAGTTACTACGCGCCCCTTTCCATTTTCTTTTATACTTATTTCTTAGCTGTTGTTTGAGTTCCGCTAGATATTTTTCACGATATTCTATTAATAGGTTGATCTGATGATAGAACGTGCAGAGTTAGGTGAAACATTACATGCAATATGATATAAAGGTAGATAATCACCTGCATGTGTAAAATAAACGTATAAGAGGTTATATTTTTAGAATGTTTCCGACCTTAAATCTTTACACATTCGTAATAATCAGTAGGTGTTTAAGCTTCCATTAAGACTGCATTAATATATTAGAATTCTCTCTGTAATTTGCCCTGTTTTAGACTTGGCCTCCGATACCTTCCGGTGTTATTTCTAGATTTCAGGCTTGTCCAATCCAAGGGTATAGTCTTGACTTGAAAGTATTTATCATTTATCAATACACTATGGGAAACTACAAATACGACGACCCGGTTGGTCTAATTGCCGGTTCCATTACCTTAGAACTCGTGGCCGCATTATGTGTTTGTTTGCGCTTCTATGCTAGAAGATGGCAACGGCAGGCTATTCTTGCCAGCGATTGGTTAATTCTTTCGGCATTTGTCTTTGGGACTGCACTGGCAGTTATTGAAATTTATGGTAGGATGCTATTTCTCTCGAAACTAACCGCCTTCTAATTATTAATTTTTACATCTGGGAAGACAAACTAACAAAGAACAGCCGTCATGGCACATATCCTAGGGTATCCGGCTGGAGTAGGGGGGGCAATAGAAGGCTCACCAGTTACTCCAACCATTTCCCATCGCCTGGATAAGGCTAAATATGTAATTAACTACCTCTTATTTAAATTAAACAGTCTATTTCCCTCTTTTCCCCATCCTGTGATACTTATTGCTAAACACCATAACAGATCGTTTATGCATACTTCCTCCTAGGAATTGCTGGCGCCGGTTTTGTTAAATTATCCGTCTGCTTCTTCTACTGGTACTTATTTGCAAGAGTTAAATTTCGCCGCCTTCTCATCGTCTGGATAACTATCATCATCATGTGGACCGTTGGATTTATCCTTGGTAGCCTTTTAGAATGTGGATCCCACCTAACAGCCGCATTTTCTCAGGAGGGATTTTTTCAATATTGTAGGGGCGCTACCACTATCGGTTATGGCATGGTGGGAAGTGATATTGCAACAGATTTTATTACTCTCATTATTCCGATTCCGCTTATTTGGAGATTGCAGACGAGTATCCACAAGAAGGTCTTGATCTCATTGCTATTTATGATAGGGGCTCTGTAAGTGATTTGGGACATCTGTTTGTGAAACTCATAAGCTAAGAATTGAAGCTCCGTCAGCGCATCCATTGCAAAGGGTACATATTCATCGTCGCAAGTACAGGTAGCTATACCGAGGATATGATTGGTAAGATTACTCAAGTCGCCTTGTACGATGCCAGACTAATAGCAAGCGCAGTAAAACTCACGGCGATTTCGATATGGAACCTTGTTGAGGTTCATGTTGGTATTATCGCTGCATCTGGCCCTATGCTACCCGTTATTCTTGTTCACCTTTTACCAATAGACGCCATTTTTTCTGTCTTCAGTTTCACGAGGAACAATAAGTGGAAATGTTTCTTTAAGCCACCAAGTTTTGTTGAAATACCCTAAGGCGATGAGGTCAGCATCGTAAGTGTATCTCAGGCGCCAGTAAATATGACCGAGGTAAATAGCTATGTCATGAGAGCTAGGACAGATAAGACAGAGTGTGAAGTGACTACTGGAGTTTAAGAGGATGGGACTTAGATGAAGATCAAATGAGTATCTGTATGTATCTTTACACTAATATTGTGGATCCGTTGATACGCACGGACCAGGAACTGGTACATATATAAGATTTGACCAAGTATAAGTGGAGTCTTAGAATCTTTTACAATACGAAGTACAACATCCTTTTACACCCCAAACAGCACCTACGTAGGTATGTCGCGTTTTAATAATTATTAATTGTTATGGTGTGACAGTGGAAACTATGGACGGAAATAGCGATACGCCTATAGCTACCTAACCTAGGTAGGTACCTAGTCACACATGCGTGTCAGTCCTTGGAATATTCATACCTAGGTAGGTACCTAGGTAAGGCTTTAGATAATGCCAGGTACGGCAGCTGTCTGGGAGCCTACCGATACACATTTCTTGATGCCTATCGGTATATTCTAGGGCTGTGCACTATTAGCGCTGTCTATCGAGTTGTCACGTCCTTCGGGCGGCGCTGCGCTTTAATTAAGGATTGGTCCGAGCCAATAGAACAACGTCGGCAAAGCTTTAGAATTACCTACTAAAAAGGCGAAAATTTTAGAAAATACTTAGAAATAGCTAGGAAATATACTGGTTCTGAAATACTTCGGATCAATCCTTCATTAAAATGTAGCGCCCGAAAGGTGTGGCAATTCGATAGACAGCGCTAAGATTACTAATTAATAAAGACGAGGTCTGGATAACTTTAAGTATAACCAAGGAAGCTTTACTAGGCCCCCTATTGTCCAAGCCCTATTAAACGCTCTTTACAATATAGCCCTTGACTTTATACTATTTCGCTGATTTAACTGACTTTGCTACTGTGCTTTTATATGGGATACCTAGTATATCTTAAGTAAATTATGCCTATTTTGAGATCTTATCTTGGTTGTTGTAGATTAAATCGTGCAAGGGACATGGTATTTTTCTGGTAGCGAGCTTAACTTTCTAAAGCCACTAACTAGCTAAGACAGTACATATTCTTTTAGCTATGTCCAGCGGTCAATGGGATACTTCTCAGATTACGCTCTTTTATTTTCTTACATTTAGTTTAGCATGACTTTATTACTCAGGAATTGACAATAGCGTTTTCCGTTCTGGAAGCTTCTTTTTAAGGGCGCTGTGTTTCTTGGTTTGGTATTAGTTAACAGTATAACTATTGTCCTATTTGAATACTTTATAAGTACAATTGCTAAAGGCCCGGGTGGGAAGCTATTGGATGGGTTCTAGTTGCGAAGCCGCTAAGGCTTTGGTTTTCAGGGGAAAATAAAGGGCTGAGTTCAGCACTCAAAAAACCAGATTCTTCCTTTGCTATGAGCGTCTACTGGGGCACTACTTGCTGCAGTCACTGGCTCAGCTACTAATCAGCGTGTCCAGCGCCCCTCTACTATTAGGGAATGCCTAGCCCATGCGAAACGAAAACGCCTTGGCTTGACTTTTTTTACATATTAGCTGAAATTTTCAACGACTTAGAGACTGTAACATTCATGGTGCCGAGACTGCAGGTAACCATAAGTTCAGTAGCTCATCTGACGCCTCTTATCGCAAACTATTTAAATTTTCCCTTATTTAAGGCGCAGAATCCGCTCATGTACCTGTTAGTGGTGCTTGAACATACTACTTCAACACATCTTTTTTTACGCTCAACTTCAAAGCCCAAGCAACGAAAGCTATTTAATGCTTTTGAAATCCATATAGGCAACTTCCAGATGAACATTTTTTATTAGTTCAATGGAACATAATTTGAATATAAACGGCGACCCCGAATATCAGAATCTTTATGGAACATGGCCGGAAAATGATCTCTACTACAGCCAGCTTGGGAACTATATAGGGCAATCATTGAACGGAGAACCTTCGATCTCACTTTTTGGCTTGCGAAGCTCAGCATCAATAGTACCTCCTCAAAACGTTTCAGGGACCGAAGCATCGAGACAAGGTCGCACGTCTATTACTCATAACTCTGATGAGAATCAAGGGAGTACGGAAAAGGTTCGACTTGTTAGGTTCGATGATGGAATAAACTGTGATGGTTTAGATGACAACGTTGTGCTCGCTGTAGTGGATGGAATTCCATCTCCGAGCACAATCCAGTTTCTAGCAATGCGTCTCCGAGTTCAACCCGAATTACTCATTGGTCACCTGGAGCTAGATTCGGTCCAGGATAAGCTCCGGTCATCATTCGAACTTCCGGCGCTTTTATCCAGGAGGCAAAACCTCGTTCATGTGCGGCTTGTGAGTTTGTGGCGAACAACTTCTCGCAATAAAGTCCGCCTCTCACCAGAAACGCGAAAAAAGGTTAGTGGCGCCTTCAGGGAATATACCAAAAAGTTATTCAAGACAAACATGTACGGATCGACCCGCATTCGAGGAATACACTTGCACGATTCACAGCATATTACAATAGAACAAGTAGTTTCATTCTGCTTGCTCCGCAGCGGTGGAGGCATAGAAGACTCAAGGAGCATATGTAAGCTTGTACTCCAAATCTCATCTCATCTCACTTCACTTGAAATCCTGCGGTGGAGCTGATGCAACAGCAGGTTTATTCATGCTTGACAAAGGAGCGCAACGGGGTTCAGTAGACTGGGTTAGCTGTCTGGGCGATCTAGATACAGGGCGTCCTACAATACTCCCTGCTGTTCGGTATAACGAACCCTTTCTCCCAGATTTATCACCCGAAAAGCTCCCCGCAATGATGGTTGGCGATGATATAACACATCAATACCACCCATATCTTGAGTGCAATGCGTCGGGGACTAGCCGAATGCTTAGGAATAGTCCAATCATAGGGCTATACTCACTTCTATCCTCGGCTGCCCTCTCTTGGAACCAGGTACTTAACTATATAGAGGATGACGTCGATGAGAACCAGGACGCAGAGAATAATGACAGCGCAAGTGAGGTACTAGCCCAGATTCGCTTCAATGTCCAAACTGTACATCGCTTCGGCGGTTTCATCGGTCAAATTCTTGAACTAATCCAGGCCCTTCCAACTTGGGCCATACTCGGATCTATGTCCACAGGCACTTCTCAAGTTGAAGAGTATCAGGATCCATCCTTTCCAGTGGATAC